TCAGTGAGGGTCAATACATCAATATTATGAGCATGTAGAAGTGATTTGATCTCATGCAATTTATTATAAAGACTACATACATTAATATGAGCAATACTTAGCTTTCGAGTTGTAGCTGTTGATGCTGGTGATAAATGAGCAATACTGATCGTGCTGGTAGACGGTGCAGTAGTGGTAGCCGTAGCAGTTGCAGATCTCTTGTGTGGTGTTGGGGATGCCCGGGCTGTTTCCTATTGGCTCTGTGTGGTCAGGAGGCGGGCAATGTCCTGGGATGTCAAGTGTTTACCGTTCAGTGTAATGGCATCACGTGGAAGGTGGCATTTGACGCCTTTGCTTCTCAGAGCACGGAACTTGGGAACCAGCTCTTTTCGTCTTGCCTGTTCCTGGCGGGTTAAATCGTGCTGAATATAGACGTTCTCGCCTTTGTGCTTGGCCTGCGTTTTGTGGCGCATTAGCTGTGCTTTGGTGGTGGGAGCCAGCACAGCTCGCACTAGACGAGCTGAAGTCGTGACAGCACCAGTGCTGTTACTGTGTAACTGACCGATGCGCGTCGCAGACAGGATGTCCCCGGGGGCAACTTGCGGAGCCAAGGTGCTGATTATGGCAGGTAGGTCTTCGGAGGGGCTCTCCAAAAGGCCGCGTAGCACGATGTTGTTCACTCTGCTGCTTTTATCCGTGGCTTCAGCCACGAGGTCAAGCAGTGTCGCCTCCGAGGTGCCCTGTATGGCATTTCCAGCTGGATTTGGGCTGGTGAGGTTGGCGACAGGATGTCTGGCAGTGAAGGTGGCGACTGTCTGCTTTACTTCCGCAATGGCGGACTTGGCGCCATTCTCTGAGATTACAACATCTTCAGTACATTTTTCGATAGCGGCTTTCAAGCGCCGGTTCTCCGCTGACAGGCGGTTGATGTCCTGGCGCTGCTCGTTCACGACGACTTCGAGGCTGTCCAGACGTTGTCCGATGGTCTCGGCAATGCTGTCTGTCACGATTGTCTTCAGCTCCGTTCGAAGTTCATGACGGAAATTTTCAAACAGTCTCTCATCTCTACATGATTGAAGACTTGCAAAATCAATTTTTTTCCAAGTCCAGGCCTAGGCAGTACTGTAATGCCTAATCAATGCCCAGGCAGCTGACTTTATTTTCGGAGAAACACTACTCATTGTAGTAAAAAGTAACAATGAATAGCGATATCATCTAGGAAGGATCGCTACCCTAACGCGAAGGAAAGGCCTTGCGCGGCTGCTCTACGAAGTGTTGAAGAAAGACTCATCAAATTTAGTTGGTGGACGAACAACTCGCTGGCGCCGGAAAACTTGGCCCCCAACGATGGTGTTTGGTGAATCATCAAGCATAATGTCTTGTAGCAGTGTTCACCGAGGAAGGAGAACGCTCTAGACTAGTCGCTGCTGTTGTCCGTTTCATCCACGTTGGGCGTTAGCTGCACCGCGCCTATTGTGTTTTAGTATTCCATGGACGCACATTAGCATTCAGAGCGATTGTGGAGCCACAATTTACTTCACACAGCGTTGTATTGTCCACGAGCGCAAACTTAATTATCAGCAGTACCTGTTACTCTTCATCCTACATGTAGACTTGGAGTATACACGCCTTGTCACGACAGCGACAGCTCTACAGATCATGCAGAGTGTTCAAGTGAGAAACATTAATTTCTATTGTTGGTGGACGAATAAATGGCTGGTTCCGAAAAAACGCGGCCTGCACCGATGGTGTTTGGTGGATCATCAAACAGGGTGACCAGCAGTGTTCACCGAGGAAGGAGAATGCACTCGCCACCACTCCGATTCATCCAAGTGGGCGTTAGCTGCGCCGCGCCTATTGTGTTTTAGTATTCCATGGACGCACACTAGCGTTCTCAGCGATTGTGGAGCCACAACATATCTTCATGCGGCGTTGCACTGTCCAAGAGCAGAAACGTCAGCAGTGACCCATCATCATACATGTAGATTTGGAGTATACACACCATGCGCCAATGGGCCTCGGCACAACAGCGGCAGCTCTACGGAGTGTTCAAGTGAGAAACATTTGTTTCGACTTTTGGTGGACGAACAAATCGTCGGTGCCGAAAAACGTGGCCTGCGCCGATGGTGCTTGAAACATCAAGCATGGTATGTGGTGACTGTCAGTGTTGATCGAGGAAGGAGAACACTAAGGCCGTCGACCGTTCATCCATTTCGTTAGCTGCACCAAGCCTATTGTGTCCTTGTATTCCATGGGCACACAATCATGAAGCATGGCGTCTGAGCTGTGTTCACAGAGCGGGGAGATGCTCTAGCTGACGAGGTACCAGCATCTAGCGCAACAGCAGCTAGTGCAGCATCAACCAGTATCGCCATTGACCGTAAGATAGTCAGTCGTCTTGATCGGTGCAGATTTCCTCTGGGAGTCTTGACGGGGAGCACCAGAGGACTTCCGCCAGGACTACAGTTTCTGCCTACCACAGTCAGTTTTGTGGTGACTGGCCGACCACGTCACTCCAAGCACTCAGCTACGCCGATGAGCAGCCATGCCAGCTATCGTTTCTCTAACTGATGCAACTTCCGACTCCTGCACCATCCCAGATCTGTGGGACCTAGACTGTGTTGACATCTAGGATTCAGGCCATCTTACTAACAACGACCTAGCCATGAGGCAATTCATCATTGTTCTACGATTTTGCCTGCCACCAATCGTCATGACCTGCGATACTGAGAAGGCCATTTTACAAATCAGTGCCAACCCAGCATACAGAGATGCGACACGATTTCTGTGGTTCGCCAACTCCGACAGTCCATCAGTCACCCCATCCAGCCTGTTCACGCTCATAAGCAGTCCATTTCTGCTTGGCGCGTCTATACAGCATCATTTGGCACAGCAAGATGACAAAACAGCTAGCAGTGGCTATTGGTGAGAACATAGGGTCTTCTGGCGTATGGTATAATTATATGAGCAGCATGAGAGTGAAGTAAAAGACTATTAGCTCAAACATTCAGTCTTTTAAGAGTAGGTGTTTCATCACGGAATAGGTTCTGCAGTTCACATACACACTGCAACAATGGACCAGCAGTGTCCAGCATACAATAGAGTCATGTGAATATGTACCGTATGCATACTCACAGCTGCAAGGCCAGCGCCCCGTGGCTGCTTGACTTCTCAATCGATATAAATTTTCACAACAGTAAGTCTCTGTGATCAATCAGAGCTGTGCTTCGAAGTAGTCACAAATGCCCCATGATCAGTCACAAAACAAAACTTTGCAACCAGTCACAGCTTCCACGGTGCCCCAAGACCAGTCACCAGAAATGACCGTGGTAAATCTGCAGGGAGTTCCATAATCTGTTCATTGCACAGTTCACTATGCTATGATTCAAGGGGGGGGGGGGGGTAGCGTTCCTGCGGATGCGGAAAACTTGGCTGGAACCCGAGTGTCACGTGAACCCTGATTTTAAGACTTTTATTATTTGTTTTACGATGAGCCTATTATACGCGATACAGGCTCAGAACACACTTTTCATCTAGTTGGCATATCAGGGATATAGGGCGGAGCAGCCCATATCCCCAATTATGACACGCGAGTAATAGTGAAATACGATTGGCGTATTGTGCTGGACTGACTGCGGTAATGTAAAGCTAAAATAAAGCAGTCAGTTTGCCCTTAGCATGGCCTTGTCATGAGGGTGCCACATCCGTGGAAAGGCAACATGCCGGCTAATCTCCCTGAGAAGTTGAGTGGTTATCCACCAAAAGTCGAAACAAATGTTTCTCACTTTAACACTCCATAGAGCTGCCGCTGTTGTGCCAAGGCCCATCGGCGCATGGTGTGTATACTCCAAATCTACATGTATGATGATGGGTCACTGCTGACGTTTCTGCTCTTGGACAGTGCAACGCCGCATGAAGATATGTTGTGGCTCCACAATCGCTGAGAACGCTAGTGTGCGTCCATGGAATACTAAAACACAATAGGCGCGGCGCAGCTAACGCCCACTTGGATGAATCGGAGTGGTGGCGAGTGCATTCTCCTTCCTCGGTGAACACTGCTGGTCACCCTGTTTGATGATCCACCAAACACCATCGCCTGCAGGCCGCGTTTTTTCGGAACCAGCCATTTATTCGTCCACCAACAATAGAAATTATTAATGTTTCTCACTTGAACACTCTGTAGAGCTGTCGCTGTCGTGACAAGGCCGTGTATACTCCAAGTCTACATGTAGGATGAAGAGTAACAGTTACTGCTGATAATGAAGTTTGCGCTCGTGGACAATACAACGCTGTGTGAAGTAAATTGTGGCTCCACAATCGCTCTGAATGCTAATGTGTGTCCATGGAATACTAAAACACAATAGGCGCGGTGCAGCTAACGCCCAACGTGGATGAAACGGACAACAGCAGCGACTAGAGCGTTCTCCTTCCTCGGTGAACACTGCTACAAGACATTATGCTTGATGATTCACCAAATACCATCGTTGGGGGCCAAGTTTTCCGGCGCCAGCGAGTTGTTCGTCCACCAACTATTAAACTTTGATGAGTCTTTCTTCAACACTTCGTAGAGCAGCCGCGCAAGGCCTTTCCTTCGCGTTAGGGTAGCGATCCTTCCTAGATGATATCACTATTCATTGTTACTTTTTACTACAATGACTCAATGGCATTGTAGTGTTTCTCCGAAAATAAAGTCAGCTGCCTGGGCATTAGGCACTGCATGCACTGATTAGTGCTAGCGCATGGACTTGGAAAAAAATTGATTTTGCAAGTCTTCAATCATGTTTGCATGTACGCGCTATCCAGCCATGTGGCGTGAACAGATAGCCTGACGTGAAAGGTAGCGCGGGCGCGCGCGAGTCGATCGTACGCGCTCGCGGACGTGTCTGACACGTGAAATGAAAAGATTTTTTTGGCGGGTAGTCGGCAAAAATTAAGTGACGGTCCCTTTAGTCCTTCGCATGACAATGATTATGTGCCATGGTTACTTGTCGTTGCGCAAGAACACAAGAATATTCTTGATTTTCCTCTGACATAATTTTCTGCGGAACGATCCGAGGTTGTAGTTGAGTTTGGCTTGTTGCAAGTAGAGGTTTTTTTGCATTCCTCCTCCATTTCCACCACCATGGTGAGCTGTCCTCAATGCACGGTGTACGAGAACGAACTTGAGAGGCTAAAGCCATTTTCGTTTTGTCTGTGCTGTTGCAGTCTGCCCTAAAGAGATTTGCTCCTCTTTTCGACCGAGTCCTCGTGCAGCGTTTGAATGCTGAGTCGGTGGGTGTTGCACGTGCCACAATGAACACATAGTCACAGAGTGCATTCTATGCCCGTGAAATGGAAAAATTGATTTTAGATCACACCTAGTGTTATTTCACGTTGCATTCTATTCATTGGCTTATTTGCGGTGAATGCATGGTACAGTTTAATCCTGGAATTTACTATTCGAATATTATTCCATAAATGTACTATTTCTCTCCCTGGGTTGCTCGCAGTGCACTAGTGACCAGCTATGATCGACATGTGTTATTTTAATTGTGTTCAAGGGGGTATCAAACTGCTTTGCATGCATTCATGCATAGTTACTTCGAAGTACACTACTGCGACATTTACATCATCCTATTGGCATTGTTTGCATGTGGGACAGCTGTAGCTTACTAGTAGGCTGTTACTCCCTTGGGTATTTCTGTACACAAGGCAAAGGAATTGGTCAAAGGACTTGTTTTACTGTACATACATTTTCAATTGCGAAGTTTCTTTTCTCGAACGCGCGACTGATAAAAGTCTGGATAAATGTTCTTTTTTTCGTGTGTTGTTCAGACCACCAAGGGTGGAATCCTGATCCCAGAGAAAGCACAAGGAAAGGTCCATGAGGGTGTTGTCCGCGCTGTAGGCCCCGGTGCCTTGAGGGATGTAAGTTTTTGCCATTGTAGACGGGGCTGCCTGCTCAATACGTGCCGTGTCATTAATAAGAGCGAAAGCTGACTGTGCGGAGATACATTTTTATTCTAGAAATGTTGCTCCACTTAGATATTGAATTGTGGTTGTGTACGTGTGTGTTCGCACATGTTTCCGTATGAATGTGTCTTTGCAGGATGGCTCCCGTGCACCAATGAGTGTGAATGCCGGTGACCACGTGTACTTGCCCGAATATGGTGGCACTAAAGTCACGCTTGAAGAGGAGGTATGTTTTGTTTTTCTCTGCTGATGTTTCAGTCTGATGAAGGATGTGTGTGGGAGGGTGGGGACAGGTAGAGACAAAATGTGGGTATGTCTGTTGGTCGTGTATCACACAGTGGCGTGCTGATGCCCAATTCAAATGGCATGTTTCACTGCATGGTGGTGGTACGCATCACCGTGCACTGGGCTCGTGTACCAAAAATATCCAGCATAGAAGAAGAAATGTGATCTGATATCGTGGAGATTGCTCTGTTAAAATCCCAGCCCTAGTGTATGTGTCTTGTGTTCAACTTCATGCGTTGGGTTGTTCAATTCTTGGCGGTGTACTCCCCAGAGTATAAAAAATGCTTTGTGTAGGTGGGGGTCGACTATTGTCAGTAGTAGTACTTCCATCAAAACTCCTCGAAATATGTCTTTGAACTGCAATTCAAGAAAAAACAACAAAAGCCATCATCAGGATTGATAAGAAAGTTAGAAAGAAATTAGATCACCAGCTGATTCTTTTTCTTGCATGTATCTGTGTGTTTTCCTTCTTTTTCATTTTGACGTAGGAATTCACTCTCTTCCGTGACGCTGACCTTCTTGCCAAGATCGCCGACTAAACGTTAACCCTCCACCACTGCTGCTGTTCCTGCTACCACTAAAGTACCACAGAACAGTCTACTTGCTAACTGCTGATACTATTTTAGTGCTGATGCTACTTTTGAGTACCGTTGATTTGCCATCACTAGAAAGCAATGTTGATCCTGTGCTTGCTACCCCTCGGTGCAGTAGTATTCTAAACTTGACCGGCACGGCCGTGTGCTCCGCATCCTCTTGTGGTGCTTTTCGAGTGTGGTGTCAGGTGGCAGCACACCGAAGCAGATCGTGTTCTTCGCCATGTGAAGGCAGATCAATGGTACTCATTCTATCCTGCTGCTCGGTGTCTCGAACTGACTTGCTTGGATATCGTACTGTGCACAATTTTCTTGTTTGGCGTACCTATTTGGACTTGCCAACGTGTCATGATGTCACTGGTATTGTGCTGGGCATATTGGTCAATGGCCAAGTCCGTCACTACGGGTTAGTTCACACCAGTTAGTTGTATAGACAAAGGAGAGGACACGACGCTCGAAAGCTCGGGCGATGTGTGCCTTATGACGGAAAACCCCTGGGTAGAAATCGCGGGAACCTCAGAATGTGCAGATATATTTCCAAAGTTTTCGGAGATGCTTTCATCAAAAGAGTACAAAAGATATGACTCGTCCACCGTCGATATAATTAATTCACGGCTGTTCCAGTGCAGCCACTTAAAGGGGAAGTTAAGGCAAAAATCAAAATTTCACCAGTTGTAGTCTTCGGGGTGCTGAGTCGAATGGTCTTGGTCCGAGAAAGCTGAGACGCTCCCTTCCTACAGTAGAGTCGTGCGCTGAAGAACGTCCAGCCTGAAATTCTAAGAACGCCACAGCCTAAAGCTAAGAACGGCGGTGTTGGATTTCTGGCAGCTTATGGGATACATAATGCAGGACGGATTGTTTCTAAGAACGTGCTATAAGAACGCAGCCAGATTGCTGACGAAATAAGAACGTCCCAGGCTAACCCCTTGGAAACAACGTTCTTGGGCGCGCGACTCTACTGTACTTGAATCCCAATCGAACTCGCGCACTTCCACCGAAACTGGGTGACTGCGCCCTACTAGATGGGGATTTGTATGGAAAATGTCACTAAAAGCGCCATTTAGTTCTAATAAAAGCACGGATGACCGCGATTGGCCCATATGTTGTAGTCTTTTGGACGCTGAGTCGATTGGTTTTGGTCCGAAAAGGCTGCGATGCAGCGTTCCTCCTTTATTCCCAATCGAACATGGTTGAACAAGCGGTCACGTGCTCCTGCGTACACCAGTCACCTGGTCACCGTGCCTGCAGGGTACAACTTACTAGCCTGTTTGACCTTCTTTGGGTGCAGTCCTGTCACTCGAGTTGAACCTTGGTGTGAAAGTTGTCGCCTGCTGGCGTGGTGACCAGGTGATTTTGGCACCCAGGAGCACGTGACCGCTTGTTCAACCATGTTCGATTGGGAATAAAGGAGGAACGCTGCATCGCAGCCTTTTCGGACCAAAACCAATCGACTCAGCGTCCAAAAGACTACAACATATGGGCCAATCGCGGTCATCCGTGCTTTTATAAGAACGAAATGGCGCTTTTAGTGACATTTTGCATACAAATCCCCATCTAGTAGGGCGCAGTCACCCAGTTTTGGTGGAAGTCCGCGAGTTCGTTTGGGATTCAAGTAGGAAGGGAGCGTCTCAGCTTTCTCGGACCACGACCATTCGACTCAGCACCCCGAAGACTACAACTGGTGAAATTTTAGTTTTTGCCTTAACTTCCCCTTTAACAATATGGCGTCGTTCAGTGCGATTTATGTAACATTGTACGAATTGTGCAAATACGCGATGAGTTTGCGTTTTTGGAAGAAACTCATGTCACGCCTCGCGTGGTTCAACGATTTGGGAAGCGAAACCAAGAGAAAAGTTTTGAAAGCGCTCGAGCGAGATTCTCGACTTTTAGGCAATTTGAGAGAGAAAGAGGGTGGAAAGGCGTCCTGGCCTGCCCAGTAAGCTGTCTTTCCTCTTCAAACTTGCTCAAACTACTCCTGACAGTCTGGAGATTGACCTCGCCAGTGATTGGCAGCCTCTGCTTGGCGTGCGTGCGGGTACAACATTCAAGTTAGACATTTCGTACTCGTTCATTGCGCAAAAGGATAGATATCACAATTGCCAACTAAGCAATTTCCAGCAGGACACAGCCTTCTAGACCCAACAGCAAATAAAGGGCCATGCCATTTGTCTTCCAAATCAAGAGAAAACGGGCTCCAGACTCGTCCCGAGTTTCTAGAAGTTCATGCACGGTTCGTAATGACACTTGGGGAAGACAACCAGAGCATAGTCCTCTACCTGGGAAAAAATCGATCTAGCCTGGGAGAAAATCGGGAACGGCTTCTCGGAGCCGAGTTTGTCAGCGACGACATCAGGAGTACTCCAGAACGAAGCCAAAGTTGCACGACGCAGAACAAATGTTTCTTGAAGGAAATGCAGGCATGTGAGGTACGAGCGGAAAGCTTGAAACAAGACGGTTATGATCCGCGTGTTCCCTGGGCTATCCGGGATAACTAGTCTCCAAAATCCAGGGGAAACCATGGCCTACTCGTGTTCTGACGATTTGAAATTTCAAATTTTCTAGCCATTGAAGCCCAATCGAGACTTTCGGCGGCCATATTGTTAAGTGGGCGGAAATCGCACAAAAAAACAGCCGTGATAAGGCAAAGAATACCCCAAAATTGATCCGGGAGGAATCCTACAGTGACTGCGAAGCAACAAAAAGAAACGGAAAAAAGCCCGGCGCGATTGTGCCCGGGTATTTCTACATAATCGTAGATCAGTTTCTGCAAGAGTACATAAACCAGAGTGTGCAACTGTGCATATCAGACCTGAAACAGCGCAGTTCGTGCACTACGTCACCCTGATGAGGTCAGCCAAGCCGCGACTTGCGTACAGCTCAAATTTTCATGTTTCATAGCCCAGAAATCAGCCAAGTTTGCTTGATTTTAGACGTCCAGTTTCAGTATTTCGGTGTTTTGTGTGACTGTGTACGCTGCGTACATCCACCGATAAGTAAAGTCACCAGGCTATCCGTATCAAAAAACCGAAATCAGGACAAACTCAGTGACCTGCACCACCGCGACTGGTTACGCAACTTTTCACCGTACCTGTGGCTTACCATGCTGTCGGAAATGACGTAGTGCACGAATTACGCTCCCACAGGAACCATCCCGAGTTGCACACTCTGGTTTATGTACTCTTGGTTTCTGGAGAGAAGCGGGTGGGCGAGGTTGGGCGGAACTTCAAAGGGCTACAACGGTGCCCAGGTGACTAGTGTACGCATGAGCACGTGACCGTTAACCGTGCTTGATTGGGAATAAGGGCCGAACCTGTCCCCTTGGAAAAGCGCGATTCCGCGGCCGCGGCAAATTTCGCAGAAATTTAGGGTGCGTTCTTAAATCCTCTCGGAAAAGTTCGAGAGCTGTTTTTATATCCTCTCCGACTTTTAGGAGGCTCTCCAAAGCTCTCCAAGCTTCAGAGGTGGTTGAAACTTGGAGATTCCCGCGGTTTGGGATCAGCGCATGCGAACTACGACTAAAAGCCACGTGTTCATCATGAGTGTACGCATTTCCCTTTTCGCATACGCACACGTGCATTACTACATTCATCACTCAAGATCGCGGCCCCTTTGGCGTTTCATTTTGCTTGACATGTGCAAAATATCTCCGAATTCTTCGAGACCCGTTCTTGAGTAATCCCAGTTTCTTCGACTTCCCTTTTCTTCTTCTCCTAGAAGCTAGAGAATATAAGAACGCACCCTTGGGGCATGTTCGTTTGGTAGGATCAGTATCCCGATCCACTGGATTCGCACCCTTTCGATCGGTCGAATCTGGATCCGGATCCTTCGGATTTGGATCCGGTCAACCCACCTCGGGGAGCAGGGTTGACCGGATCCAACGGATCCAAATGTGACCTTTGTGCGTATATGGCGGGTAAAAATCATTTTTGTACACATTGTGATACGCACACGTGGATGGAGATAGAGCTGGTTGACTTTTTGTACGACGGAGGCGATGAGTACGACATTCACGATCGGTCGAATCTGGATCCGGATCCTTCGGATTTGGATCCGGTCAACCCACCTCGGGGAGCAGGGTTGACCGGATCCAACGGATCCAAATGTGACCTTTGTGCGTATATGGCGGGTAAAAATCATTTTTGTACACATTGTGATACGCACACGTGGATGGAGATAGAGCTGGTTGACTTTTTGTACGACGGAGGCGATGAGTACGACATTCACCCTTTTGGGGTGATTTGTGAGCGCCATTGTCAACATGGCAACAGTCAAGGTCCAATATAAAGTGTTCAGTTGAATCTGAAGGATCCGATGGATCTGAGATCTGGATCCTGATCCCGATCCTTACCAATCGAAAATGCCCTTAATTGCCATCATCCACGGAAATCACAGAATTCACACGTTTGCCCGCGGAATCCGAATTTTTTAGGGTAAAAATTAATACTAAAATTTCTACTCGGAAAGCAGCAGAAAAACTACTTTGGTTTGTGACTGCAAAGGGTAGTGTGAAAAGTGATCCTTCATGCAACTAGTTGTCATATCCTCTATGAGGAGAGTGAAAAACTTGCAGAAAGTGCCGCATATTTTTGATTTACCGCAGAAAAAAAAACCTTTTCCTGCGGAATTTGCCGCAGAATTTTGAATTCTTGACCACGTTTTCCCAAAGGGACAGCCGAACCCTGCATTGCAGCCTTCTCGGACCAAAACCAGTCGATTCAGCGTCCAAAAGACTACAACATATGGGCCAATCGCGGTCATCCGTGCTTTTATAGGAACGGAATGGCGCTTTTAGTGACATTTTGCATACAAATCCCCATCTAGTAGGGCGCAGTCACCCAGTTTCGGTGGAAGTGGCGAGTTCGAATGGGAATAAAGGAGGAAGTGAGCGTCCCAGCTTCCTCGGACCAAGACCATCCGGTCCAGCGCCCCGCAGACTACAACTTAGCTGGTGAAAAATTGATTTTTTAGCCTTTGCTTTCCCTTTAACCACGTCAAAAGTTCTCGCGAGTCGCCGCACGACTGCCATTACTGCTGTATGTGCGGTATTACTATGTAAACTTTGGTTTTTACTGCAGTGTTTCCCATATTAGAGATTATATGAAAAAGCTGGGCCTTGCAGGAGAGCTGCCGCCTGTCCTACATGGAGCTGGACTCCTGTATTGGGTACAGGTGTACCCCTGCTAGCAGGTGCATGTACAAGCAGTGGTGGCGAATAATCTGACCTCTTGAATAAAGATGTCATGTTTTTATTCACTGCATAGTCCAGCGTTTGTAGTGCTTGGGCTGCACAGACAGTTTGACAGTCCCAGGATGTTGGTTTCCTACAACATTCATTGACTGTATGTGGACTTCATGTCCTCAGGAATTGGAATGGTTGCATGGCAGGTGATGAATCAGTCTGGGAGCTGTAGACATTTTTTTATGCAGGTTTACCTGAGTGTCTTTCTACTGAGTGTCATGTACAGTGCTGGCAACTGAAATCCGACCCCCTAGCGGTGCGTCAACATTCTAGCGGTCTCTGCTTCGAAGTTTTACCATCTCGTGTTGGGTCTTTGCGATGTAAGCGCACCGCTCAGGGTTCGGATTTCAGTTGCCAGCACTATAGTATCTTTGTACTTCATGGCACCCAGTAGAATGAAGCATGGTTAGTAATAGTTGATCACCTGGCCATCTTCATTTCGTAGGAACCAAATCTGAGGTTTGGTATCACCACGTACATGTACAGTGAATCATTTTCCAGTATCCTCGCTACACTGACCCGCCCATGCATGCGCTGGCTCGCCATGGTAGCTGAGCTGATGGTTGATTTAGTAACGTCATGCTTTAACACGAGAGAGAGAGAGAGAGGGGGGGGGGGGGGGGGGGGCTGTGTTGCAACTCCGAGTTTCACGTTGTCACGATCATCAGGCAACGTTATGTATTCAAGAAAGAACTGCGCAAACATTCTTGTCAGTATTCATGTCTATTCGCTGGCATGCCGCTACCCTGTTCACCGTAGCCCCCCCCCCCCCCCCCCCCCTTCCCAATCCCTACTCTCTTGTACCATCATCCTTCAATGCGACGGACCCCTCGATAGGCCTTTGGCTCATCCTAATAAAGTTATTATTATGCTTGTGATTGTAGTTGGTTCAGTACCGGCAGACCTGGTTGATTTGGTTGGTCCTGTACTATAAGTAGTCCAATAAGCAATGCCGCTGAGTGGCTGTAGCCGCTGTACAGGGGCGTGGCAGCCGGTCCGGCCTTGGCCGGACCACTTTTTTTAATTTTTTTAATTTTTTATTGGGAACACATCCCTACAAAAAGACATGTGGAGTCAAACACAAAACAAGACACAGGGGGGATTTTTTTCGCCCGACTACGACCAAAGTGCCCAGAAAGCAGGATTTTGTACCCTAATTTCAACAGATTTCCCGGGGAGAGCCCCCCTTCCTGCCGAACCACCTCCAAAGGCGGTGCTACGCACCTGCTATACTAGTAAGTCGTGTAGACTGATACTAGTAATCGGTTCAGACCGGAATGCCGCTTATTTCAAGACCGGTAGGCTCCACCCCTTCTGAGATGAGTTGTTCTTCCGTCTGGCCAGTTGAATATTCACGGCGCCTCTCGGGCTGGGCCTGCAGTGATGTTCATATCAAGTACATGTAATATCAAGAGTATAACGTCATGTAAGCTCCCAGGGAGCTTATGATTGTGCTCAAAGGCTGCATTCAAGAGGCAGGTTACGCAGCAGGGAGAGGAAATTACCTGACCCCAAAGTCCCAGTGCATGCAGTGGTGTTGACTGTGTTGTGAAACCGTGCTTGTCACCATTGCTGAAACTAGCGGTTGGATTGCCTAACAACCGGCTCGGCCGCTGTTACTTACTGTTAGAGTGTTAGGGACTCTCTCTCTCTGTCTGTCTGTCTCAGTACACCGTGAGTCATGTTTTGTAGGCGGCCTTTAGTTTCAGTACTTATCCTGTAGCTGAGATTCATCAGTGCAGTCTCACTCTCGTCTAGATAAGTCATAATACTAGTAACAGTGATAGGCGGTACTGTAAGTCTGTAGTCTGATCAGTCAGAGACCAGGACTGGCAGGATAGGAGGAGTGTGAGTGAGTGAGTGAGGACTGATTATTGATAAGGAAGGTAGATCTACATGTACGTAACGCCTGCATGCTTTCACTCAACACAACACTCAACAGCCTGAGCAATGGGCATCATCGAAAGTCCAAATCAGACTCCGTCCGATGATAGTAACGTTACTAACTACAATGTCATGTCAGGGGCGTAGGAGGGGTTTTGGAAGTGGTACGACCGAAGGTCGGTGCGGCCGAAGGCCGTGTTGGAGGGGGGTCCGGGGGAGCTCCCCCTGGAAAATTTTGTAAAAAAGACACAAAATCCTGCGTTCTGGGAACTTCTGGCACACGTCTGGCGCAGTACAGTGTGCAGTCGAGTCGAGTACAGACTCAGTACGACTGCAGATGCACAACAGATCTACGAGTACGAGTCTAGAAAAAGGTCAAAGTCTGATGCGCATATGCATCGATGGACCCTGATTTTTTTTATTACGGTTTTGCACGTTCCAGACGGACCACACTTTTCGAAAAGTGGTACGGCCATGGTCGTACAGTCGTAGCGGGTGCTACGCCCCTGCATGTATATCTACATTGTATTCAGCATCGTTCGCTGCCATGCCACCTGCAACCACTGAACTGGAGGGATCCTGTACCGTGAACATCTGGGTAGTGACAGATCTACATGTATCAGTCTACAGCAGACACAGCCGCCGAGCGGACACAGCAAGTAATAGTTGTACTTTTGTTGTAGCTGTAGCTTGTCTTTTTTTCTGAGTTTGACGGAAAATCATCGCTCCTACAGGCTACAGTAATTCACGTCACCAGGACGTGCCTTCTTTTTCATTGTGCTAGCGATGAGTTGTTCGTTGTTGCGAGCCCATAAATCATAGCAGAACAGGCATGCTGGTACTTCTGTACTACAGACTGTAGGTGGATGTCGCAGCAGCTTACCAGCGAGCAGCACGACCCTCAGTTTTTAGAAATAGCGATTTTGTTATCGGAGGAATTGTTTGATACGTTGCGATTGATGCAGTGTTAGATAAGGTGGTGAGAGCGTTGTGACCATTTCTTCGGATCCAGTACAGGCTAGAAGTGATCTCAACCTCGGTGTGAGTAATTCTTATAGCCATCAAAAAGTGTTTCGAAAGTGGATGAACTGTCCTGCAGCAGCCAATAGGGCAAAGCCATTGATTTGCAAACACCGGAGAAATAGAAGGATCAAAAGTAACACAGGTGTGCCACAATTCTTACTTTGAAAAAGCGTGCATGCTTCTCCGCGTGGTACACTACAATACTCAATAGCCAGCCATCCAGAAGTGCCCATTCGCATCAACTATGGCGGTACAGCCGGACGTGCTAACGATGAAGATTGTCCTCCTTGGTGAAGTGAATGTTGGTAAAACTGCCCTGTTTCATCGACTGAAGACTGGAACATTCAGTGCATCTGCATCATCCACTCTTGGCATGGAGACGGTGGAGAGAGAATTTACAGTTGATGGTGAACCAGTTCGGGTACGTGAATAGGCACAGAGGAATAGTACATTCAGACTGTTAGTGCACAGCGCAAGGGAATTGCGAACTAGAATGCAACCGGTTCAGTGAGTTCACCTGCTTATGGTAGCGTGCCCAATGCTTGGCAAGACACAGTGTTTTATAACTTATAAGCTTCACTTATTGACACAATTCTCTGTAACTGCTGAGCAACTCCTTCCGAGCAATTTCTTGCTTTAATATCCCGGCATATCAGATAATCTTGTCTTTCTTAGGAAATCGCAGCATGACATACCACATTGTATGGGACTCTGCAGACAAGACAACCCAACATGGTACTGTATTGGGCACCTTGAAAGCATGGCAGGCAACTCCTTTCTCCAGCCATTCAAACAACTGGGATGACATGCACGCATACACAAACACACACACACGCACACTTGTACACACACACACGCACACTTGTACACACGCACACACACACACACACACACACACACACACACACACACACACACACATTCATAAATTTGACCACGTTTCCAACTCACCACCAAAATACCCGGATCTCGCCGTACCTAAGCCTTGGCAGATTTGATGTGCCATTGTATATGTATTGTTCTTGTGTAGTTGCAGATTTGGGACACGGCTGGCAGCGAAAAGTACCGGACCCTTACGGCAAACTACTACCGTGGGGCGGCAGCAGTGCTGTACGTGTATGATCTAAGCGAGGAAGAGTCTTTGTTTGGACTGGTGGCTTGGATGGATGATGCAAGACGGTTTCAGCCAGACCATATGGCAATCCTTATCGGTAATAAATGTGACCTGGAGAGTGAGGATGTTGTCCTGACAGAAGCTACAATACAGTCCTTCTATCAGGATAATGACTTTGAGGTAAGATGTGACTGAGCTATCTGGATAATCAGTACCATCAAGGGCGTAGCAGCCGGTCCGGCTTTGGCCGGACCTCTTTTTCGCCCGACCACAGCCAGAATGCAGGATTTTGCACCCTAATTTCAAAAATTTCCCGGGGAGACCCCCGACCCCCTCCCATACCTGCCAAGTATCTAGATTTTGTCAGGATTATCCCGCAATTTTGGATGAACTCCCGCGATCCCGAAATTCCTGTCGATTATCCCGAAATTCACTGTACAAGAAACAAGCTTGATATTGTACTTGGAGCACTTCAAATGACTTGTCACAGGCCAGTAGTTGTCCTTATTGATTCCGGACCGCCATAGCCTGCAGTACTAGTGGATCTACTAGTGCTCCTTCCATGAGCAGTCTCTGAAAAACCTCCGTTTTTGAGTCTTGAACATGTGTAAGTGTGATCCGATGATCACCATCAATCATCAGTTTTTTCTATTATTGAAATGTTGGTGCCATCAAACGTTGAAAAAGGATTTTTTTGGTAAAAATATGACATCCCGAAAAACCATAGCCAGCAATCGCATGTCATCTCGTACATTGAAAATCAACATAATTTTGCGAATCGACCTTTTTTTCAGGATCACTTTTCAACGAGGACGAAGAAAAGTCGGCCGAACGAAGCCTAGAGGAAGAAAATCACCCTCTCCACTTCACCATCACGATACTGACATACATACGAGATGAAACAACTAAAAAATTCACAAGAAAACTGTACGACCATCATCGCGCTGACTTTGGTCTGACTTTGGTCTGAGAATTTCTATCACGATCAAAAATGTACGAGGAGCACTCAAAAATCAGCCACAGACGTACCTTTATCGCTCTCTACTACTTTTTCAAGGCACAAAAGTCGACTCTCCACTTTCAAACCAGGAACCAGACATACCAGTGGTCCTTTTCAGCTGCTCCACGAGCGCAGGAAATGTTCACCAAGGGGCGCAGAGCAGCATCCATTCCAGAAAAATAGCTAAAATACGAGTGAGACTGCATGCCTGAGTACATGAGTACATGTATGAGTACATGCAGAAAATAGTCAATTTCAGCGTTTCTGCTCCAAACAGCAACTAGCTTCGACTAGAAACAAAGATTACACCAAAGGATCAAACAACAACCATTTTCTGCAGTTTTTTTGCAGATGGCTTCCTTGTGCTTGGCCCAGCACGCCAAAAATCACACCTCGGAGAAGTACAAAAATTACAACTCTCAGATGTCCTTGATTGCTGGCCATGCAAGGCAAATCCCGGGATTTTGCCATGGCGATCCAGAAAAAGCACTCTCAGTACTTGGCAGGTATGCCCTCCGCCCGGACAACCTCCAACGCAGGTGCTACCCGCCTGACCATACACGGGAACTTGCAGTTACTTACTTCGTAAGCACAAGAAGAGAAGGAATGCAAATACACACATCTGTCGGTTTTTGGGGTTCGAACCTGGAAATCTATAGTTACTAACTTCTCTACAAATACTTCTGTGATTGCTCTCATCTGCGAAAAATATACTTTCAACACACAAATACCATTCCCAAATTGAATAATGGAAATCCTACAATACCCCCCCCCCCCACGAAAATAAACCGGCGTCCTTAATACATCAACACAATACACACCAAAAAAATCATAACGAAACGGCGTAGAGCAATAGGACATGTTGCAACAAATTTGTCCTCTCATTGCCTATTGGGTATTGTCTCTCTCTCTCTGGCATCACCTACAGCTCTCACTGTGTATGTCGGCGAAATCAGGACAAGGAGTGGACGCCTGTTTTCACGAAGTAGCCAGGGCTCTCCTAGCAAGATCCAGTGGCGCAAATGCGACTAACGGCTATTCGCCTGGTGTTGCACTAGATGATGCCCAGCGAAGAGAATCGCAGCAAGACGGGGGATGTTGCTCATAGCAAGGGTCAATGCATACGGTACTGTGTTTGCAGTGTATCAGGATTACCTAACCTGCGCACAAATACCTCCGATCAGTGGACGTCTGCTTTGGACGAATGTTTGAGTGAATTTTGAAGCCATCGTGAAACGTCCTGCACACAACCCATCATTGGCTTGCTGGCGCACAGCGGAGAGTACCGTGTTCATCCCAGTCTTGTCTGCCGGCTGAGTAAGCTTGAATGGATTCCCCGGTTCTGTCTAGTCACACCATTACCATTGTGCGAGTCATTGCCGGGACTTGACAATGTTAACTAAAAGCTTACTACACGCCTGGTGCTCTTCTATCACCGGCAGCAGTTCTTACTCAGTCCCGGACCCAGTCAGAGTCACAATCATCAGTGTCACTATACTCAAAGCCCCCGGCTTTCCGTGCTTGTCCGGTCACGCGGCGGAGCATTTAAAAAAAATTGTGGCTCCTGGCGGCGAACTGGCAATTCTAATCTCTGACGGTGAACTTTGACAATTCCATAGTCTAGCTCTTAGTGCCCGAGGTTGATGTTGATGCTGTCTGGAAGTTTTTGGACAATTTCTCACTTTCAAGAAGTCCTAACAAGCCGTATTCTCAGTTTCTTCCCCCGCATAGTAAAATAGTAAAATTGATCATCAGCACCAGTCAGTAGTTGTCTATCCGGGACTCTGATCTGCCAGGTCTATTGCACCTTTTCATCATTGTTTTTATTTTATGTCGAAAAAGGACTCGAGGAAGCATGCATGATAGTTGCAAGTTGAAATATTATTGTAATTCACACGTGGCTGTGTGTTGTCATTTTCTGGCTTGTGTGCATGGTTTCATGGCGGTTGAGCAACTACTGTATCGCGTAGTAGTCTATGACTGGCAGTTTCAACAAAAGTGGTCGGATATTGTGCTTGGAACCAGTTGCAAGTGTTCCGACGGTGACAAGTAGCACTGATTGAACCATCACTCGGATTAAACCTGACTGTTCATGCTTTTGGACTCGATGTCGGCCGGGGTAGGTAACACCCGCTGTATGGATGAGATAGTCGATTTGTCACGGGAACTGCTGCAGTTCCCGTGTTTACTTTTCTGTGACTCAGAGGTGGAGGCCGAGGCGTGAGACACTGCATGTACTGTCTACACCATGGTTCAATCAGTACCGTACCAGTAGCTTTGGCACGAGAGTGAGGTAGACGTCTACTGTGACGATGAGGTAAGTCACGGGGTCTCAATGCAGTTCCAGTACTACTGTATGCGTCCACCCCCTCCCTGGGGGGGGGGGGGGGGCTTTTTGCATTTAGGGTGCGATACCAACAGAATATCGGGTGCTCGTGAAATGCCCGAATTCGTAAAGGCCAACGGCCCGGTCCGCGAGGCACACCGATGTAAAAATAAGAGTGGTAGACTCTACCATGTTCACTCTTGCCTTGGCGGTACTGCCTTCTTGCAGCGTTTTCACGACTGCATTGATGTACAGTACTGTAGCCAGTGACTTTGAGTAGGTAGGTACATTTTTATTTGAATTCGCAGAACCAAACGGGCGGTGTTGCCCAATTACATGGAAGCGAATGGAAACAGTAAAATGAGTGACTCCTGAATAGGTGACTATAATTATAATTATTACTAGTATTGTCTGTTAATCTCTGCGGGACTTGTGATGATTGTATAATATAATTATTGCAGAGGGAAATCATGACCACTGAGGACCTGACTCAGATCATGAGCAAACGAGGAGCATGCCCTATGCAGATAATGCAGTGCCGTAGTACATAATTATACATACTAAGTGGCTATTGTAGATCTACAGACTACGACTCGTAGATCTACACTACAGTAGTATAGTCTACGTGGTGCACGTGCGAAATATGTACTCCACGTCACACTTCCACGTGGAATCAACATGTTTTCGCCGTTCGCGTGACCAGGACCAGGACTGCTATGCACTGCACTGGTAGTACATGACATTGTTCAAGATTCAAAAAATTTGCTTTGTTTAGTGAAAGAGACTTTGCTGTTTGGTCGTCGTTCTCCTACAAAGTATTCCCCCCCTGCGTACGAAACTTGGTTCCCAGTGATAACCAGCAACATGTTCCTGTATTTGTTAAGTTGGATCTCGTCATTCCTTTTGGTTGCCGTTTGCGTTTTTTCACTAGGTGAGTCGTCGGAGTTTTTTATTTTAATTTATTTATTCATTAGTTGAGGGAATGCCTCACATCAAGATTTTTGGTGGGATTGCTGGAAACTCCTTCAATATAACAAGGAATACATGTACTCAAACACTGTGAATAAGACGTTCCTACTGTCAGGAGTTTTCGTTTCACGCAGACATGTCCTGGAGACTAGCAAGTCAAAATCTGAGGAAATATGAATTGGCTGAGGAGTAAGAAAATTGTATGCAATGGATGCACTTCTACGTGTATAACTGGGATATGAAACGAAACACGAAATAGAAAACCCCTACCACCAGTGCGCGCATGTGTGTTTACTATCTTGGTGGAATCGTGATGAATGTAAACACTCGTAAGAGTTGTAACAAGAATGGCAATAAACAGAACTAGCCGAATCGACATTCCGCAAAGGCGTTGTTAGTGTTGAAATATCACAATTCCCATAAAATTGGCCATAATTCCACACTCACAACAAGGGTCGGACGAGGTAGTTTGGGGTAAACCATTTATCAGGAGAGACAACGAGCGGAGAGACAGAGACGAAAAACTACATGATGATGGCAAGAGAGAGAGAGAGAGAGAGAGAGAGAGAGAGAGAGAGAGAGCTAGATAAAGGGCCTGGGTAGCTAATAACAAATATGGTTGCACAAGCAGCTACTAGTACCCAGGCTAACAGAACAAAATGTATCATGCGGGAACGCGGGAAGCTAGGAGTGCAGGCAAAGGATGTACAAGGAAATGTACGGGAGATATAGATTAGGACCTAACATACCTCCCCTACTTACACAAAGGAACCGTGGAACGCGAACATTTCCAGAGCACATTGTTTTTCTAGTTTGCAGTATCCGACATGCTCGGATAACAGCCGCGGCTGGGTAAGTAGAATGCAATGTCACACTGACAACGGACGGGCAACTGGATATCTTATGTTCAACTCAGTAGCCAGCCGGGTCACTATAGGCAATCGGGAGTCCATTATACAGTCTAATTCCTGTAAGCCGTTGGGCAGTATGCCCCTAGGCATCTATAAGCAGTCGGATCTCCAGTATGCAGTCGAACTCCTACAAACACCACGATTATAGAACACTGCACTTTCTGTCCTACGACTGCATGCATTGCATGCAATCACACACATATTTTTTCTTTCCTTGCCGAGAGCTAGCTGACCCTCACACTCTGTCAGGTTCTAGCAAAATGCCCACTGCCTAGCTGGTGGTGGTATCATTTTCATTGGCTTCAGCTCCGCGAGCGAAAGACTCCAACGCAGCGAGCTGTTGTACTTATAGCTGAGCTTCCTTGTCGTTGAGAAGCTAAGTACTGATTCACAGTTCATACTATTTTTATTTTATTTATTTTTATCACATTGCACATACCTACGGAAGAAGGGGAGAGAAAACGAAGACAAAACAAAAAAACAACAATGGGTGTGTAGGCGCTACATGAGCTGCGCCGGTGAGATGCAGTGGACTCCCCCGACCAAGGGTCTCGGGATCGGCGTACACAGCAAGCACCATGGGGGGGGGGGGGGCGAGAGAAATGGCGGAGAGAGAGAGACAGAGAGAGAGAGAGAGAGAATGAGATAGAGAGAGAGATGGGTAAGTGAGGGAAAGAGAGAAAGAGGTGGAGAGGTATAAGTATAGAGAGAAAGAGTTCTGCGGCGTATCGCCGCTATGACTATAATGCTGCTTTTAGAAGAGGGTCAACATAATGATTTGCGTCCACTGATGGCAGGCCAGTGTGACACATGTGCATGGCTAGCACCAGTCATGAGCAGAGCACCAGTCACTCTGTTGCAGGTGACAGTATGCAGCAATCTTGAAGCTCTGCAAGTGTTTCCGGGCTGGCTGCTTGTCCAGAACTGCCTGTGGCAGTCTATTCCACACTGGCATGATGCAGTATGGGAAAGAACGCAGAAGGTAGTCAGGAGCTTGTGGCGAGAGATTCAGCTCAAGCTGGCGGGGATGGTGCTGTGCTTGGGCTGCTCGTGTGCGGCGATGACGTGGCGGTATAGCCAGTGGGGGGGGGGGGGGGGGGGGGGCACATGGCTGCAACTTGAGGCAGACCATGGCCACACATCAGTTTATACAGTAGGCAGAGAGCAGAGACCTTTCGCCGAACAAGGAGGCTGGGACGGATGGTACCAGGGCCCATGACATTTAGTGCGCGGAGCTTGACAGCATCCAGCATGGCCAGGTGTGAGGGAGCTGATCCCATCCACTAAAGGGGGGGGGGGCATATTCCAGCATTAGCCGGACGAATCCTATGTAGACGGTCACCCTGCCCGAGTGGCTGAGGAGGGGTGCTGCCTTCCGCAGGAGGCCCAGCCGCTGCTTAGCACGTGATGTAACTTGCCGAAGGTGGAGTCTGGAGCTCAGTTTAGAATCAAACGCCACTCCGAGCACCTTCACAGATTCATCTGGTGGGAGAGGAGTTCCGCCGAATGACAGCTGGGGAGTCACTGCATCCTTCCGCTGGTGCGATAGAGTGATAGTTTGCAATTTTGATGGCTCAAACGCAATCTTCCATCTCTTGCTCCAGGCATGACGCTCATCTAGGCTGCGTAGTAGTGAGGCATTCGAGGCTTGGTCAAGGAGGGAGTACAAAGTGGTATCATCAGCAAAAGTGTTCAGGTTTGTGCCATGCGACAAGCAGCTTGAAATATCGTTTACGTACACGAGGAACAATGTAGGTCCAAGGATACTACCTTGTGGGACGCCAGACTGGACGGGGTGCACCAATGAGCTCTGGTCATGAACAACAACTTTAATGGTGCGACTATCCTGCACAGTTCATGATTGGTGGATGAATCGGGCACGTGGCCTTTCCAAGAATCCCAACTGACAAAACCCAGACTACGTACTGGAAATGTTTCGACTTTCTACAGGGAAATTCACTTGAGTTCAGTGGAGTCATAAAAATATGACTAAATCATGAGTTTGACTCCCTACTGGACTTCTGACTGTTTATAGGATTTTCTTTGGTATATTATTCTGTCATGGTGATGGTGTCATGGTGATGGTGTTGCCTCTGTGCACTGCGCATGTGCTGTATGGCATGTCTTGCAGCGGCGGGAATCTACCAACTCGCAGAGCTGGTGGAGGAATACACAGTCACTGCAAAGAAGATTATTGTTGTTCTCTTCTGGGTGAGTTTCCGCCATAAATCCAGCACATGATTCTTGGCCCAGCAGGTTCATTGTTTGTTGTGGCTCCATGTCAGTACTTGTTGAAGTCATTATATTCATAATGATTATTGAATAATCCAATCCTGTTGTCGACTATGTGACATCCTCGTTGATGTGTTTAGGAAATATTGGATTTGTAATGGCTCTTTTCGCCCTCACTTTTTATCCCATGCAGATATCAGCAGCTGGCATGGTTGGTGCTTTCTTGTTTGAGGGCTTTCCACTCTCTGCGTTCCTGTGCGGCGGTGCCTCTCACATATGCTACTTCATCATCCTGGGATCGTTTCCTTTTATCTCCATGATGTCCCCGGCATTCCTGGCAAGCATAGGTATGGCGAGCCAATACAGTGTAATTGTGGTGGCAGCATGTTTTTCTTGCTTGTGGTTACGAGTTCATGTATGTATATACTACAACCCAACAGTACGCTTGTACGTGAAATATAAACCGACATACAAACCGAGGCGAAGCCGAGGTTTGTATGATGGTTTATATTTCACGTACAAGCGTACTAGTGGGATGTATTATACTTATGCTGACCTTCATACAAACTGACAGTCAACTTCTTCCTGTTTCTATGGTGGCGGTCTATATGGGGTTTGTATGGGGTTTGTATGAGGTTTATATGCCCAGTATAAGCCGCCAGCATGATGGGCAAGTTGACTGGAAGTTTGTATGAAAGGTCAACGTAAACGTGTATACAATTATGCTAGTGTGCATAATTATCGCAAACCAATGACTCCCAAGTACCGGTATTCGCAATGAAGTGAAACTTCAGTTTTACATACCTCCAAAGGATGTAAACACTAAAAAGCATTGCTTTATATAGCCAAGGTACTCCGTATTAAGGCCAGATGCCTAGGAAGAGATAACTGAAGAGAGCGCTGACCGCTTTATTGTGCTTTCCGAATCCCCTTCGCACTAATCGTATCCCCAATTCAGTTCACCAGGAATTTTTAAAACACTTTTGTTCATCTTGGGCAGTAAGAAGACCTTAGGGTCTGTTGGGAATGCCCAAGGATAATAATAAAATACAATACAAAAATCCAAAGAGATACCCAGGGTCCTGATATAGAGAGAACGTATGTCCATGCCTCCAGGGCACACGTTTTTGTTTTTTTTTATCTTGAGCAATAATGACGGATGGTGCAACATCATCATACATGTACATACATATCAAGTGTACAGAAGGTTAGACGTTGATATTCTATATGCTGACTGTCTGTTTGGCTGTTGTTATGTGCAGCTCTCCTCTTTCTAAATCACTATCTACTACTATCTCATTTTGAAACAGTGTGGTATCCCTTCTCAGAGGTGAGAGATAACATTGTATGACTATGCCGTGCGAGCGCGCGTGCGTGTGTGTATTTGTGTGGAGACCCATGTGACCAGTTTTGGCAGTGAGCAAGTACAACAAGTATGTGTGTGTGTGTGTGTGTGTGTGCATGTGTGTGTGTGTGTGTGTGTGTATGTGTGTGTGTGTGTGTGTGTGTGTGTGTGTGTGTGTGTGTGTGTGTGTGTGTGTGTGTGTGTATGGTACTACTTTGCAATGTTTGCCCTATACTTTGCTTGATGGCATGATGTGTGTTGTGTTCCTTCCCTGATGGAAGTGTGATATACCTATGATTACACAATTATACTGTCTGTTTCTTGCTACTTGTCGGTGTCCAGATCATTGCTTATGTTGTTATAAGTGTGTGGATGGTCCCATTCGCACTGTTCATCAGCCTCTCAGCGAACGACTATGTACTGCCGACAATGACCAGCCCTACTTCTGCGCAACCACCGCCCACCTCTGGACATGGTGAGCTTTGCAGAGAGGTCTATGCTATCCGTGACTATCTTGTCTGTTGGAGTAGCAAGGTGGTTGTTTTGTTCTGTTGCTGGTAGCTGCCTTGCATGACGTACACTACGCTGCCCTGAGTGTTGTGGTCAACATGCTAACTGCTGTCTGAACTGTGCATTTGCCTTTGTATTGTCTGAACTGTGCACTTGTGGTGTGATCGTAGGTGGCCGCTCTTCCAATAAGCGTGCCGGTGTGAAAGCCCTGATGGACTCTCTCCTGACCTATCTGCCCACGGCAAAGAAGCATTTCTAGTTGTGTCACGCAAGTATCATCTTGTGTACCATGTACCACGTACCATTGTCAGCATCAGAAGCAGCAGCAGCGGTATGACCTGTGTCGACAATGTTGCAATACCAGTGCTGCAATGGCGTGTTTGGGTGATGGAAAACCCAGAAAGTAATCTACCAGCCATGCTGCACTACTAAGACTTGAAAGCCAATTCTGTGGTTGTTTAGCTGAGTGCAGCAGCCCGTGTGCTTACTGGACTTACACAGTCCTGGGCAGCATGGCTTAGAGATCACAACTCCTCTGCGAGCCGCTATAGTAGTGATTTAGTTGAGCTTGACGACACAGTGGTATATGTGCACGGCTGCTAAGTGCCACCTTGCTGTCTCATGTTGTAGTGCTGCTCAGCGTGATGCTGCTGCTGCTGCTGCTACTGTGCATATCACCATCACCGCCATGCTGTGAAGGTCAGTGCTGTTACTGCTACTGCTGCTGCTGTTTTCGTGCCGCTATCCCGATTGCTTTTCTTAGCAAGGTTGCTTGCCGGCGAGCATCCATAGCAGTCATGGCTCTGGACTTGAATGTTATCTGCTGCTGCCTTCGATGATACATTGTCCGCTAAATAGACCATGGCCTAGTTCTGGCTTCTGGTGGGCTACAGTAGGCAAGCGAGGTTCACGCTTGAAGAGTTGAGCTACTACCATCCATCCTTCTGTGTCTTGTTTTTTGTTTTGGTGCAAATTGCTGGTTCAGTTGACCCAATCCTGTTGTTCATGTACATGTAGCATCGTTATGATCCAGTCTGCATATTCATCGCTGCAAGCCTTTAGAGTAAGTACCTGGCCACACTATTGCAGAGTGCATGTATTTGTATTTGTTTGCAATGTGTTTACCCATAAGCAATAAGCTTGTTTTCGGCAAAGCTGCTGCACATTCCTTGACATGCTATTTTATCCTCCCATCGTTTGTGAATTTGCTCTGTCAAGCTACGGTCTAGGTGGTATGAAACTGCATGCTCAGCTGTGACTATCATGTTTGTCTCGGGAGAATCTACTTTCAAGTCTCTAAAGTAAGGACCATCACCATGGCTGCACTAGCTTCGTTTGCCACACAAGGAGCACTCAGCGGAGATCAGTTGGGAGAGCTTTCTGTAATACGATTTTCCGATTCATGTAGTGCCAGCACTTGAATGGAACCAATGTGTATAAGTAAGTTAGTAACAATGCATTTCGAATAACGTGTTCCATAGGTATGAGTCCGAGTAGGTGATGGCATGGTGGGAAGATGAGAGGACTAGTTGTGAATCTATCTTATTCAACGAGTGTGTGAAGAATGGTCACCACTTCAGTGACCATATTAGGCTTCATAATAGCATGATAAGAATTCGACAAAAGCATTAAGTTGCTTTTTCCACGTCGATTATGCAAGTCAAAGAATTTATTAAAAAAAAAACATTTATGCTGCTGCTGACTGGCGCACATTTATTCTGTGACCAGTCCGCGCGTGTCGCTATCATAAAGCGGCTCGTCGAAGTTTGGTGAAGACGAGTTGATAGAGATATCTCCTTTGACGCTGTAGGTGGCTTGGCCCAGGTCGGACGGGAGCTGTGAAAAGTAGTCACGAAAAGAAAATACCAAAGAAGACCGTTGTTACAACTTACTTGGTACCTTACATATAATGCCCAACCAGTGCATGCCCAACCAGTGCATTCCCAACCAGTGCATTCACAGTACAGACGGTGGTTCACTTTATTCTGAGCTCGAGCTTTGCTTACATAAAGTAGTGCCTTGCCAGTATACTAGTAATAGCTTTGCTTACATAAAGTAGTGCCTTGCCAGTATACTAGTAATAGCTTTGCTTACATAAAGTAGTGCCTTGCCAGTATACTAGTAATAGTTGATGAGAAAGAGACCTCCAAAGCACAGGATCTGTACGTATGAAACTTGCCCCGCTCCCCGGCGCTTACTCCATACAGATTTTCATACACTGAATTACATAGAGCGAAACCTCCCTAATGAGTAATGTATCACAGCTAGGGCTGCACACACCTGAACTCCACGAGATGCTCCAGATCGTGCCTGCAGCGGGAAGTGGACAACAGTAGATGGTGGACGAGAAAGAGGAGAAAAAAAGAAGTACAGTTAGCCGGATTCGCGGCCGCACCACCTGACGTGTTGGGGAACACATCAAGCAAAGACATTGGCATCGGCGGGCCCACCGCTTCACCCATGTATCCTCAGTGTTGAATGCATACCTCACAAGTAAGTCAGGGGAGAGGGGATAAGTCTCTCAACAGGCGAGCGTCTAAAGGCCCTGTAACCCCATAAACCGCATACTTGTTACCCTCACTCCGAGCAAGTCAGTACATGTGCCCAGTTCACCGTGGGTGTTGGGTGTTGGCACAGTTCACTGCATGTAAAGTGGTACTTGCCCGCATCACCACGATTGAGAGAGCACTAAACACACTCCCTGTTACCAGCGTAGGTTTTGAACTTAGGGCCTCATGATTCACAGGCAAGCCTGCAAACCAATCGGCTGTACGCGTTGGTCAGACGAGAACTTACACAGGTGAATAGAGTTATCCTTGCAGTGGTTAGGGTGTGCAAATCATGTGCTGGCGTTGGTCAAGAGCTGACAGTGGTGTGTCGATTGGGCAGGCGCGTACGCAGGGTCACCTCAAGGGGGGTTTCCAACCGAATCATAAACAATGCATTGTTCGCGTTCCTTGGATCATATTCATATTCATCATATTCATCAGTTCTAACCGCTCAATCTTCCTGGAAGTAGAATGGTATCCACGTCCACGAGAGAAGAGAATGAGGTCGACCATGATAGCCAGGACACTGCAGGCGCGTAGCACCGCCGTTGGAGGTGGTCCGGGTGCATGGCCATGGGGGTCGGGGGGGGGGGGGGTGTCCCCCCGGGAAAAATTGGAAATTAGGGAGCAAAATCCTGCATTCTGGGCACTTTTGGCATTGGTCAGGCCACAGCCGGACTGGCCGGACCTGCTGCTACGCTCCTGCACTGTACCAGCGGTAGAGTGCAGCAACGGTGCGAAAAATGCCCCAAACAAAGGCCCAAACGCGTCCTGCTCCAGCGATTTCGTTTTTCTCGATCGCAGAGTTTCGATTGTTTTGCTGTATACTCTTGAGAATATCACAAGTGAAGCCCCTGCAAACTTAAGCAAGTCGATGTGACAAACAGTCTCAAATTCTCGATACTCAAGTCGCACTGCGCGCTTTGGAAATTGCCGAGATCGCGGCTCAACTTACGAATGATAGTTCTCAAGAAAAATTGCTCGCAGCGCTTCGCGAATTGTTTCTACCGACAGCTGAGAGTTTTCTATTCGATCTGGATATTTGGATCGTTGGAATTGAGCGAGATTTGACTGAGTTATGACCTGTTGAAGTTTTCATTCTTGTCAGATCAATCGCGCGCCCTACCAAAAAATGCCCAAAAATGTTGCTCGTTTGGAACATTTGGGGGGTTTCCGGGCAACGGGAACCCCCCCCCCCCCCCTGCGTACGCGCCTGTTGGGGATTAGCTGATAGCGAATGGCGGTAATTGAATCACCCCACCCTGGTGTATCGGTTGTCGAGCTATCGTACTCATGGTGCATTTTTCCAACATGCAAGCAAGTGAGCAGGCTGTGCGCTGATCAGGAGTTTGTGTTCGTAAGTTACTGTGTGTGTGTGCGTGTGTGCGTGTGTGTGTGTGTGTGTGTGTGTGTGCGTGCGTGCGTGCGTGCATGCGTGCCTGTGTAAGCAAGTGCTCACCTTAACCATCACAATCAACATGACAATGATAGCAGCCACTGCCACTCCACCTCCAACCGAGATTGCAATGACGGTGGTGGAGCTGAGCCCACTGCTCTGTGAACCACCAGTATTCTTGTCGTTGCCAGGCGCCTCTGTTGGCTGACTGGATGCGGATGGTTGCAGAGAGAACTGTAGGTATCCACTGTTGAAAGGCACCTTGATGTTTGGCTCTATGTACTGTACCTGTATACAAGGATATAGACACAAAGGATATAGACACAGAGGATATAGACACAAAGGATATAGACACAGAGGATATAGACACAAAGGATATAGACACAGAGGATATAGACACAAAGGATATAGACACAAAGGATATAGACACAGAGGATATAGACACAAAGGATATAGACACAAAGGATATAGACACAAAGGATATAGACACAAAGGATATAGACACAGATATATTTGAGTTGGACAGCAGGCTATATTGAGTACTGATTAATCTACTCAAGTTCGACCTCAGTTTTTTCTGTGCTGCGTTGACGATTCCACAAAGGATGAAACAGGTCTGACCCTTGAGTAGCTACTGACTTTTGCGCAATGAAACCTGTGCTGTGAGCTCTCTTCTTCTTCTTTGAATGCAATCCCCAGCACAGTAGTGGTTGTCAGGCAGCAACTGCAGACCTGCAGGCAGTGGTATATCAAGGCAATCTCGGCTGAAGTAGCACGGTCAGCACGGTCGCATCAGTTGAACAGGTCAGCACAGGCAGTGGGATTATTTCCTGACTACGTTATACTCTGTTGTACACTACACAGAGACTTGCCGCAGCATCTGTTTAGTTCTCCTCAGGGTGCACCCCTGTCTCCATCCTCTTTGTCGTGACTATCTGAGACTAGTATCGTATTACAGTTAGCACCGTGCAATAGCTCCCTAAAGGGGAAACTAATTGAACGACATTTAGCCCTGGTTACAGGCTATTCATACTACGTTACAATACGCGTCACGTTTTGGAATACGACGTACTGGCAGACGTCGTTTTCATGCAGGTGCATTCACACAGACACGTACACGGTGCTCGTACAGCTGTGTGTACAGCTTCTTTTGGACACAACCTGCTGGGAACGACAGAACGAAACTCGGTACAGGGGTCTGGATACGTCGTCTACGTTTTCGTATCAGTGGTATGATTTCCCGCCACATTCCATGTTGTCATGGCTATCCGGACGAGAACATCATGTACGCCACGTTTTGGGCATAGTGTGATGAATGGCCCATTATGTAGTCTATAGTCACACACTCCCGTGTTGCCTTCCACTGGAAGAATTTCTCAGTTTTGCTTCCAGTCAAGAAGTCTTACATCACTGTCGATCTTCTGCTTCGCATTGCGGATTACTGGCTCCTCAGATCCCTTGTACCCAACCAGATTGTACGTGACGAGAAGGTGCCTGCTGGATAGAAGTGAGAAAACCTGCAGACACAGCAGAACCACAAGAAGAACCATCCAGGTAATGCCAAGCACACAATGGACACACACACACACACACACACACACACACACACACAGCCAGGATGCCATTGCTCCACTGCTAGAGTTCAAGCTGTGGGTCTCGGTGGTGTGCACACTGTACCTTTGTGCATGTAGATACGTGAAGTAACTTGCGGCATGGAAAAGAGAGTTGGTGTGGGAAGGAGCAGTGTCGTTCAGGTCACCATCAGTAAAAGCACTGCCCAGCACATACAGTGTGGCTCAATGAAATCCAGTCGCGTCACTGAAGTACGCGCTGGGCGGTGCGCAGCCCTAGACATGCGAACACTGGGCTGGGAAATGGTGCAAGGGGCAAACTTGAGCGACACGACTGGATTTCATCAAGCAGGACTGTAGATGCAATTTTGATACTACCAACCAATGACTAGACATGTTTTCAAAGTCGACAGCATGTTACAAGGCGGGGGGACGCACAGTTCTCCTGACTAACTTGCAACCATAACCCGGTTGGCAGAGTCCCGGTCTTGTGACTTGCCGAATATGGTTGTAGTCAGGAGCACTGTGTGTCCTCGCCTTGTAACATGCTGTCGACTTCGAAAACATGTTTGCTTGATATGTTTAAAAACATATCAAGCAAGGCTTCTATATAAACCTATGACTTGTAAGTTGTAACGTTAGTAGATGGATTTTGCTGCAGCAAAGAGCATACTTGTTAATTTTGCCTGCTCACCTCAATCTCCTGGATGTTATCAGCAGATAGTGAATACTGAGCTTGCAGCCATTGCATGAAGTACCTGCATTTGCAGACAAATCAGTGAAGGGGATGATGCATGAATTGCTGTTAAGAACCCCGCAGCCTACTTGAAACACGTCTAATTAGCAAAGTCAGTGCTACAGTGAAGTAGCACAGCTGCGGGCGGGCCACACAAACTCAGGGCGGACTGAATGACATTTAGAACCATGGAGGGAATCTAAAATGTCATGTCCAGCAGGCTGTTCAGATGAGTAATGTACATGTACATGTGTAGTGCATGGATACCATAAAGAAAGGACCAACTCTACTATTGCTGGGCATGTATGCTCCACGTTTGCAAAATGTTCTGGTTTACAACCCCCCCCCCCCCCTCTACGCAACACTAAAACTGCCTGTAGTTTGTAACCTAACATCTTGCTGCTGTTGCCACTGGACCGCCCACTCTTTTGTATTCCAAAGGTTGAGGGTATTGGATTAGTGGTGATAGCCCGAGACGCAGTCAACAGCGGCATGTAACTCACAGCTTGAATGCAGTGTTTGCATCGGCATTGCTCAATAGCATCGCTGTTGCTTCCTCTGTTCCAGCCAGGTTGAGCTCCATATGTAGACGTATGACTCTGTGATGGAAAATCAGCCACAAACAGGACTTGTCAGGCTTTCTTCAAAGAATGCCTTGCAGAATTTGAACCCTGTGCAAGCAAGCACCTCAGTGGCACTCAGTGGCAAGCACCTCAGTGGCAAGCACCTCAGTAGCAAGCACCTCAGTAGCAAGCATCTCAGTGGCAAGCACCTCAGTGGCAAGCACCTCAGTGGCAAGCACCTCAGTAGCAAGCACCTCAGTGGCAAGCACCTCAGTGGCAAGCACCTCAGTAGCAAGCACCTCAGTGGCAAGCACCTCAGTAGCAAGCACCTCAGTAGCAAGCATCTCAGTGGCAAGCACCTCAGTGGCAAGCACCTCAGTGGCAAGCACCTCAGTAGCAAGCACCTCAGTGGCAAGCACCTCAGTAGCAAGCACCTCAGTGGCAAGCACCTCAGTGGCAAGCACCTCAGTGGCAAGCACCTCAGTGGCAAGCACCTCAGTAGCAAGCACCTCAGTGGCAAGCACCTCAGTAGCAAGCACCTCAGTAGCAAGCATCTCAGTGGCAAGCACCTCAGTGGCAAGCACCTCAGTGGCAAGCACCTCAGTAGCAAGCACCTCAGTGGCAAGCACCTCAGTAGCAAGCACCTCAGTGGCAAGCACCTCAGTAGCAAGCACCTCAGTGGCAAGCACCTCAGTAGCAAGCATCTCAGTGGCAAGCACCTCAGTGGCAAGCACCTCAGTGGCAAGCACCTCAGTGGCAAGCACCTCAGTAGCAAGCACCTCAGTGGCAAGCACCTCAGTAGCAAGCACCTCAGTGGCAAGCACCTCAGTAGCAAGCACCTCAGTGGCAAGCACCTCAGTGGCAAGCACCTCAGTGGCAAGCACCTCAGTAGCAAGCACCACAGTGGCAAGCACCTCAGTAGCAAGCACCCGTCAGTGGCAAGCACCTCAGTGGCAAGCACCTCAGTGGCAAGCACCTCAATAGCAAGCACCTCAGTAGCAAGCACCTCAGTGGCAAGCACCTCAGTAGCAAGCACCTCAGTGGCAAGCACCTCAGTGGTCCTTGACTTATACTAAAGTACTGTTGTGGACATAGAACTCCGGTGGAATGGCCGGGGACGGCGCCCTGGCCTTGCTTAGCGCGTACACGCACTGTAACATTGTAAACATGGACCAGCAGTGCTCACGGCCGCATGGCCAGCGCCCCGTGACCACTTGACTTCTGACCGGATTTCAACGTCCGTAACAGTCAGTATTTCCTTGACTGAAGTAGGTGCTAGTATTGTGCCCCCTAGCCTCATCTTGGTCGAGCACTCTCTTTCTGTCTCTGGCTCCGACTTCGAAGTGCCTTGTTGGTTGCGATCAGCTTCGGCAGCCGGTCACTCTAAACTCCACTGATGAGATTCAACAGGGTTGAAGCAGTTAACTGTCCCCAGCTTGAGCAGTACCTTGCTTAGGGTACTTGTAGAAATGCAAACGAGATGACAATCGACTGATGATGATGATTAAAAATTCTACCTTGATGATGATGATAGAATGGTGCTGCAGTGGAACAAATGGTGCAAGAGGCAAACTGACTAGACATCACCTAGTTTGAAAGCACATGTAACTAGTTATCACACGAGCAGGAACTGTGAACTCACGGCACTTGCGTTGTTGGTGCAATCGTCGGCCGGGTTCCATTGCCACGGGCGCAGCTGCACGTCATGCAGCCCTTGACGTAAACGAAATGATAACCGATGGGGCAGGGCGCACATGGTGGTACACCTGGACAGCCGGTCGGAGGCATGGCGGTGGTGGCGCTGGTAGTGTTGGAGGAGCGGGTAGTGCTGGTGGCGTTTGATTGACACCTAGGACAGCAGTAACCTGGTACTCTCACAATTACTTGATCTTTCCTACACACAGGCACAGGACATTCTATAGCAAGGCATTGCGTGTTATTTTTGGATACACACGTGCATTCATGGCATGCAATCAGATACTTCTCGCCAACAGAGATCTTGGTGCCATTCGGCATAGCACACCCGCCGCGTGCTGGCTTGCATTGGCATGTTTGACAGCCGTTGCGATACACATATCCATTCGGGCACAGCGGGCATGGCTTCGGTGGAGGACAGGTCGGTGCGGCGGTTGTAGGCCGCTGTGTAGCCACGGTAGAGTTCTTCCTGCATACTCGGCAGCAAACATTAGGTACACGCACTGCTACTTGGCCAGGTGGACAGCTGGGTGAAAGACAGCTTTGGCTGCTACAGACTGATCGGCCGGTTGCCATACATTGACAATTAGTACATGGTCCTTGGTTGAAATAAGTGCCGACCCGGACCATTGTGCCATTTGCTAGTCTACAACCAGATGGAGGCTTGGTGCCTGTTGTCATGGGCACTGTTGTCATGGGCATGAGCTTCGTTGTGGGCGTGTGAGAGGTGGTACTGTTAGGCTGGCATGTTGCACAGCATGCACCGTTCTGCCAGATCGGTACCTGGCCAGATGGACAGTTCATAGGAGGACAGTCAATGACAAGACATGCTGGATGCCTGCCTGCTGTGTGACAAACACACGTCGTGCATGGACCAGTCTTGTACTTCACTCCCACCTGGATGATTGTGCCGTTGGGAAGCCGACAGCCTGGGATCGTTGTTGTCACTGCTACTGGGCTGGTGGTCTTGTGCACTGGTCTGGTTGTCATGGATACTGGCCTGGTTGTCATGGATACCGGCATCTTTGTTGTTACAGCTGTGAAAAACAAACAGACAGAAGTGCACATGCACACATTACACATGTATGTATGTGTGTGTGTGTGTGTGTGTGTGTGTGTGTGTGTGTGTGTGTGTGTGTGTGTGTGTGTGTGTGTGTGTGTGTGTGTGTGTATGTGTTTGCACACTTTCAGGTCGATAGGTAACAGACTGCAGTGGGTTTTGCAGGCACATACATGTACAAGGAGAGTACACTCAGTGTCCATTACATATCCGAGAGCACTAGTGAGCTTCAAGTATTTCTCAAATGCTATACATTCGCGATGGGCAGGAATACCCAACTGAGTGATGGAAGCTGTAATAATAATCATATGTATGCAGGGCTGCAGGGATTTCACACTGTTCGATGCGGTGCCCTCTGATAACTTTTAAAAGTGTTGGATTCCATTGCCACACCGGCAGCTTGCATTCATACGCAGTTCCAGTAAGATTCTCCCCTGGGGTACTAAGTCTGTAAGTGCAATTTTAATAGCTTCAAGTTCTTATACATATCGGTATACTTCGAAGTATAATTACTTAGTATATGACAGATATCAGATATTCATTGGTCGAGGGAAACATGCAAGCGGAAAAAGTTTGAACAAAAAAAGTTGACTGTGACCACCAGGACTCGAACCAGGACCTTCGCTTGATGGGCCAGCGATGCTCTAACCACTGAGCTATGGTGTAGCTGTCTATGTATGAATGCACTGTGCACACTTGCTAGGTCAGTCATTGTGTTCAGCTTACCTCCACGCACACAGACGTAATCGCCATTCCTCTCTTCCACGTGCATGTTGTGCAGTGCACGACCAGTGGTCACGTTCACGCAAAAGCAATCCGACAGCTTGGACACGGGACCACTAGGCGGACACTGGACCTTGCTGAACTCGCCGTCATTCTCGCAGGTTGGATAGTAGGTACCGACCTTCTGGATTGCTCTCTTGCCGCGCCGCGGTGGAGGTGTGCCGATTTTAATCTGCAGCTTCTCGCACAATGTTAGACCTGCATACAGTCACATGCATATTGCGTTGGTTAACAAACAGTTAGGATACAGCTAGGATTTATTGGGTGTTAGCGGCCGTCGTGAGTTCCCTTCGGGAACGGACACGATAATTTACTTTTTCATTTTTTAACAAACAGTTACAAGTATGTTTCACCTAGCCAAATTATCTTATCCTTGTTTAATTGGCAATAATGCACCATTGAGAAAATAACTAGTACTTGTGCTTGAGAGTAGTACTGGGACAGATAGCCATAGCACTTGTTACCGTAACTCACTCTGCGTGGTTATTACTGGAGACTGTGTTGTGGGCGCTGGAGGCTGGGTAGTCTTTGGCTTTGCACAGGAGCAAATGTTGCAGCCATCTTTGCCTTGCTTGTATCCCAGTGGGCACAAGAGCTTGCAGACTAGCGCCGGACACAAGCACATCATTCCCTGGCACTTTGACTTGCAGCATTTCTTGGTTCCTGGACAGGCACTGTCCGAAGAACATGTTGATGAACAAGCTGCTCCGGTGCTGGTAGTGAAGGTTGGGCAGAAACCATGCTTGGGAGCTGGAACCAATCAGACAGCACACAGGCAAACACAATTCAAACAAAGCACACCACCGTATGTCACCAATTACAGTTCACATCCGCCATGTTCAAGCCATTATCATTATTTTAGTTTCAAGGTACTCGTTTCAGCAAAATTCCTGCTTGATTATAACTTTTGAACCTTCTTTGGCCTTGAAGAGTCAATGTAAAAAGTGCGACCTATATTCTTGGATATACGGTTCCGGCTCAGCTCCAGTTCTAGCAATGCATATTACATTACAGCATACATGTATACATGTACTCATTGCAGCATGCTACTGCACGTCAACTGCTTTAACGGCACTGAAGCATACCCACACACAGCATACCAAGTGTACCACAATAATCGCGACTATGCTTACGTGCTGAAGTTGTGTTGCCTGTCTTGCATTGACACAGTTCACAGCCGTTAGCGTCCGTCTTTTTCCCAAACGGACAATGGATGAGGCATGCAATTGGAGAGCATGTTGGCTCTGCAACGGTTGTAGGAGTACAGATATATGCTTTTAAAATGAAGTGTCAACACATGCATTTTTCCTGAATTCTTCACCAGTTTTGCATTGCATTAATCCAAAGTGTTTGTTTTACTCGTACGAGGCTTTTCGCTTTAAAAAATGAAGTGCATGATTCTGATTAGCCATGCCCAATGTGGATTGAAACCAGAGCATGCATGGTAGTCTAGTAGTAGTAGTAGTAATACGCATACCATAGCAATGTTAGTTATTACAATTATTATTAATTTTGTAGTGCTACGCATTTACGATCCTGCCGCTCTGTTGTAGCCTTTGGAATACGACCAGAGAAGCTGCATGCTTCTGATGTATATCTCTTGCTGCACTTAACCATCTGTAGTTTTATAATTTGTAGACCAAGACTTACTTGGTGCCGTGGTCGCAGGAGACTGTGTTGTGGGTCCTGGAGGCTGGGTAGTCTTTGGTTTTGCACAGGAGCAAATGTTGCAGCCATCTTTGCCTTGCTCGTATCCCAGTGGACACAAGAGCTTGCAGACTAGCGCCGGACACAAGCACATCATTCCCTGGCACTTTGACTTGCAGCATTTCTTGGTTCCTGGACAGGCACTGTCCGAAGAACATGTTGATGAACAAGCTGCTCCGGTGCTGGTAGTGAAGGTTGGGCAGAAACCATGCTTGGGAGCTGGAACCAATCAGACAGCACACAGGCAAACACAATTCAAACAAAGAACAACACCGTATGTCACCAATTACAGTTCACATCCGCCATGCTCAAGCTTTTATCATTTAGTTTCAAGCAGTGTCTGCTCCAGCGCCGGGTGAGCCGGGTAATCCACCCGGTTGGGCAGCGCTTGGACCTGGTTTAAAATATAGTACCGGGTCACCTGTGACCCGGTTGGTACTGTACACTTTCGAACTTTGAAAGGACTGACTACATGGCTTGTACATGTATGTGTCAGATACTTCTTCTTCTTTCGTAATTTTCTTATTCCTGCCCTCTCTTTTCTAAATGCGGCTTATCCATTAGCCTTTATAAGTTTATATCATTGGGCGTACATGTGTACCCGGCTCCGACCCGGTTGAAATGGTTGCGCCAGGTACACGTGTACCCGGTTGTCCTACAATCCTAAGAGCAGACACTGTCAAGGTACTCGTTTCAGCAAAGTTCCAGCTTGATTGTAACTTTGGAACCTTCGTTGGCCTTGAAGATCAATGTAAAGACCAATATTCTGGGATATACGGTTCCGGCTCAGCTCCAGTTCTAGCAATGCATACTACATTGCAGAATATACATGTACTCATTGCAGCATGCTACTGCACGTCAACTGCTTTAACGGCACTGAAGCATACCCACACACAGCATACCAAGTGTACCACACTATTTGCGACTATGCTTACGTGCTGAAGTTGTGTTGCCTGTCTTGCATTGACACAGTTCACAGCCGTTAGCGTCCGTCTTTTTCCCAAACGGACAATGGATGAGGCATGCAATTGGAGAGCATGTTGGCTCTGCAACGGTTGTAGGAGTACAGAGACATGCATAAATGAATTACATGATTAGCCATGACCAATGTGGATTGAAACCATAGCATGTATGGTAGTCTAGTAGTAGTATGCATGCCATAGCAATGTTGCTTTTAGTTACTACAATTATTATCTGTAGTGCTATGTATGTACGATCCTGTACTGGTCTGTCAAGGCCCTTGGAATATGACCAGAGAAGACGCACGCTTCTCATGTATATCTCGTCAAGCGCTGCACTTTACAATCGGTAGTTCTATAATTTGTAGACCAAGACTTACTTGGCGCCGTGGTCACAGGAGACTGTGGTGTGGGCTCTGGAGGCTGGGTAGTCTTTGGTTTTGTGCAGGAGCAAATGTTGCAGCCATCTTTGCCTTGCTCGTATCCCAGTGGACACAAGAGCTTGCAGACTAGCGCCGGACACAAGCACATCATTCCCTGGCACTTTGACTTGCAGCATTTCTTGGTTCCTGGACAGGCACTGTCCGAAGAACATGTTGATGAACAAGCTGCTCCGGTGCTGGTAGAGAAGGTTGGGCAGAAACCATGCTTGGGAGCTGGAACCAATCAGACAGCACACAGGCAAACACAATTCAAACAAAGCACACCACCGTATGTCACCAATTACAGTTCACATCTGCCATGTTCACTACTCTGGCATATTTATTTGAGGAATATATCACACTTGATTGAGATCATGAGCCTTCATTGGCCTTGAAGATTGAACATAACATGGTGCGACCTACTTGAAGTTGAAGTATATTTGGGAGGACATGGTACCTGCCCATGTCCTGCCACCCAGCAATACACGTTACAGTGTATATACATGCTTACGTGCTGAAGTTGTGTTGCCTGTCTTGCATTGACACAGTTCACAGCCGTTAGCGTCCGTCTTTTTCCCAAATGGACAGTGGATGAGGCACGCAATTGGAGAGCATGTTGGCTCTGCAACGGTTGTACAATTCAGGGACACAGAAACATTCACAAAAGGAAGGCATGATTCGTAATAGCTCATGCCAGAGCATGTATGGCAGTCTAGTGTTGAAGCCACAACAATGTACCGGTACTAGTGCCATAAGCGAGGGTTCCTGGTTTGAGTCCTTGTGGTGACAGTCAATTTTTTCTTCAGACTTTTCCCGTTTTCAACTTCCTCAAACTTTTGATAAAATTAATTATGTATTGGGGCTCCCTGTGTGCTAGTTTGTACATGAAGTGTGTGGGTTACAGTGAGGGCTGCGTCCCACCAGCCTGTGTAGACTCACAGGAAGTGTGAGTTTCGGAGTCTGAAAAATGCTGAACGGTTGCTGCTTGGATGGTGGCCACAACATAGCTTAGTGGCAGAGCATCGCTGGCCATATGCGAGGGTCCTTATGTTGAGTCCTGGTGGTGACAGTCAACTGAGTTCTTCTTCAGACTTTTTCCGCTTTCAACTCAGGGGCCCTCAAACTTATGATTAACTAGTGCTATACACAGCAATTGACTTTAACAAAAAACGTATAGACACAAGCGCAGCCACATGTACAACATATTAGTGTTACGCCCCTTGCCCTGATCTGCTCTGGCACTTAGAATATGGCCCGGCAAAGAAGTCGTGTGCTTCGTGTACTGATGTACCAGTATCACCAGTCTCTTGCTGCATTTGACCACCAGTAGTTTCCCAACAGTAGTTTTACTGGTGTTAGTGATCCCCCCCCCCCCCCCCCCACCGCCACCCCCCACCCCCACAGCCCCTCCGTTAAAATGTGAAACATTGTGCCTCGTTTGAGATTCAATTCATGCACTAATCGTGAACGCACAAATAGGTACAAGTAGGTGCCTGTACACCAGGGCCCGCACATAGACACGGCATACCACCAGCAACCTTTCACCTACTGGTTTAGATGCGGAATTGATGTCATACAAAATTAATATGTACTGAATAACACCTACCATGATAAGACCCCTGGAATACATGACTGTATGTACATGTGATATGCAGCAATCATACTGTAGTGTATGAACTGCCCAGAACGGTAGTGTTAGCATTCCAACACACAGCATGATTATGTGACAACGTGGTAAAGTCTTGCAATACTGGTTCTGAGCTACAGGAGAAGGCTACGCATCGTGGTACTCACTCTGTGGTGTGGTCGTTGGAGGCTGACTGGTCTTTGGCCTAGCGCAGGCACAGATGTTGCAACCGTCCTTGCCCTGCTGAAAGCCTTGTGAGCACAACAACTTGCATCCCAGGTCAGGACATAAACACTTCGTTCCCTGACAATAAGACGTGCAGCACTTCTTGGTGCCCCCACAGGCACTGTCAGAGGAGCATGATGACGCACAGGTGAGTCCAGACACGGGCGTAATGCTGGGGCACCTGCCATGCTTTGCTGCACAACAGGCACAATGTACAGTGAGTATGCCAGAAAATGTAGTGATGATTCAGCATTGATAGACTTGCTTGTGGTGAGCCTTCTGGTTCTTTTACAAAAGAAGGAAGAGACTGCTTGGATACATAGCGGTATTTTACATCCGAAGGTGATTGCTCTGGTGGATGACTCACGGTTTGGCAGGCATTTCCTAGAAATACGTGACAACCCTAGTGTTTTCAATCAGATTTTTTTGTTTCATTATTAACGTCTTCAGACTGACGAATTGTGTGTTGTTCCCTATGTGGTAGTTGGTGCTTTCCCTGTCAACTTGATTGAGTATGGATGTGCAGTTATTTGTGCTTGTGCATGAGGTCCAAGGTAGAGGCAAACGCCTGGTGTTTCAGTACAGGAGTTCGCTCAGTTTCACTCGCGGCCATGTTTTAAACGCACCCCGATTAATGGAAGTGTGTGTTGCTCCCCACATGGGAGCTCGCAGTTTTCCTGCCGACTTGAATTCTCACTTGACCGACTCACAACTGCCATCCAGAGCACTTCCCCAACTATAGCCGAAGTTGCGCCAACCTCTTCTTCCGATTAATGGAGTTTCAGTAAAGGACTTAGGATTTCGGCCAGGTTTACTCATCCCAATGTATGGAGTTCAGGGCTCTATAACCCAGCCAGGGGGGGGGGGGGGGAGAGTGCCGTCCCCTACTCATTTTCCGATTTTGTTCGTGATTTTTTCATGCCAATCAACGAAAATACAGTCGATAGTCAGTACTAGAGGGTTCATAAAGGCACATTTGTGTGGGGTGAAGTCAGGTGTTTGCCGGGCCGTACGTTGCATTTCGCATCGCAAGACAGTTATTTGAATATGGAAAAATGGGTTACGGGGTAACTGTCCCCCCCCCCCCCCCCCTACTATTTTGACCTGGCTAGAACCCTGGAGTTGTAGATGCACAACCGAAATTATTAAATGAAAGCTGCAAACTGAGGTTGTATTCAATCCCAATAGGATTTTCCAAGCTCTATGGGAACGTTCTTTTCTGAATAAGGACGGTAAACCATGATACATTGGTGTCCACAGGGTGGCACTTACACGCCGTGGTTGTAGTTGTGGCTGTGGTTGCAATGGTTTTGCACTTGCAGATCTGACAGCCATTGTCATCCTTTTCATAGCCCCCAGGACAGTGGATGAGACAGAACACCGGAGCACATGTTGCAGGTACTTTGGCGAGAGTATCAACATGTGGTGAGCAAGAAGAAGAAGAAGAAGAAGAAGAAGCAAGAAGCAAGAAACCAATACATGTTTTGGAATATCCCTCAAAATCACTTCAACCCTGTACTGATGATGTGTACTAGCTGGTATATTGTAACCTCTCTTTGACGGACACTCTAGAGACTAGACGAAAGCTGTGTCCTGTTTGAATTGCCATACACTCAAACGCCTCTTATCCGGACGCCTCAGATACGGGCACGTCTCTCTACCGGGCACCTTCAGCTTGAGTTCCTATGGCAAAAATGCTTCGAATTTGGGGGTGTTGAACTTTTTTCCATAGGTGGAAGTGCTTATTTTTCACTGCCAACCTATGTAATCCACACGTTTTTATCAATGGGTTCCTTTTGAATCCTGAACATGTGCAATACATTCCAAATAAACTCCTTCAAAAAATGATTATGATACATGGTAGATGAGTTATCCTGAGATACGGGCAAATCTGAGATACGGGCAGTGCCCGGTCCCAAGTTGCCCGGATAAGAGACGTCCGAGTGTACATGTATATGAACACTACATGCAATCATGTATTCTTTCGTGCACCCATAACACTACCCTACACCTATCCAATCATGTATTAAAATAATAGCAACTTACCTGGCTTAGTGGTAGCAACGGCAGCAGTGGTGGGTTTTGGTGATTCGCTCTGGCAATGTATGCCCGTGTACCCCTCCGCACATATGCATACATTGCTTGCACAAGTTCCTCCGTGCTGGCACGGGTGACTTGCTGAGCACTGGCGCGCCGCTTGGCAAACTGGAAACAACCACCATGGTACGCATTGATACATAGAAGCAAGAGTGCACATCCAGTTACCAGTATGTACTCTTGATAGAAGTGTACTTCAAAGTATTGTGCTGTCCAGAGATTGAGGAAAGTTCTTGATAAACGGTTGCCGGGTGCTTTAAAACTTGACTATCCGATGGCGGCATTCAGCCACATGATAACTTTCAAGTTTCCCTGGCTGACCATGGTTGTGGTAAGCTGCAAAGAAATTCTTTCATAGCTTGGGACAAGTCCTTCTCAAACAGGAGAATGATCAACTGAGGTGTTTCTGGCATGCAATCGAGCTTAGTTTCATGGATAAAGACATTTGGTCGGGTGCATCATGGACCAAAAGAGCGAAAAATTCTACAGGGCTCAATACGGTTATAATTCTTCTTGATCTCCCCCCCCCCCGCAAACTATTTTGTCTAAAATATGATAATGTATGGAGGACATGTTGAGTGAGGAAGCAATTGATGGGAGAGGTAATTCCCCAGTTTGACTCGATCAAGTTTCTGTGCATAGACCATGAACAGAGAGATACCACAGTGTTCAAATGGTTGTTCCAGACCCAGTCTATAGGTCATGACAAGTGCTCACCTTCAACACATGTCACAGCGACCTGGTGGGCATGTGAACACACACAAACATACACACACACACACACACACACATACACACACACACACACACACACACACACACACACACACATATGCACCAGCACAGTATGGTAAGATATCCACACATGGACTTATTCACAAAACTCGGCACAGGTCTTCTATAGTTGTAGATCTTCTACTTAGTACTTGGCAGTGGAGTTGCACTTGCATACATACATCATACCTAACGTTATCTGTGCTGTGTGTGTCCTAGTACTCTAACTTAGCTGTAGCCTGCAGAAAGCAGGTTGGACTAGAAACTAGAAAGATGAGCATGGGACATTGAGTGTTAAAGGTGCAGGACATTATTGACATTGCGCCACTATCGGGGGGGGGGGGGGGGGGGGATTAGTGGGTGACGCCAAGAAGCACCGCACACCACTGATATCAGAAACCGATATCTTAGACATTATACTATGGGAGTGTGTCATGCAAAGGTTACAATCGTGCAGTGTATGGGGCATAGTCACACCTTGCCGCACAGAGTACATGTAATGAGGTTACCATGGTTACTGCACTGTATTGTAATGATGTTACTACACTGTATTGTGTTTGTGGTGCTAGGGCCGTGTAGTGCTAGGCTGCACAGTTGTGGCTAGGGCTGTGCAGTGCTAGGTACGATACGACGCGATAAAATGATCAGCTGTAGCACCTCCACTTTTATGTTTATGTATCTATGTCATTCGGATCTTCCCAAGTTGTACATTGTACTGTTGAGATACCGAATTCAAATAAATCAATACCATACCATACCATACGATGGTTTTCCCATAACGGGTTGAACCCCACTGGCCACTGGCCAGTGGCAGTAGGACCCAAGACCGTTCAGCTACATGTAGCTACTAGCATTGTCCCTCCAATACTACTACTACTACTACTACTACTACTACTACTACTACTACTACTACTACTACTACTACTACTACTACTACTACTACTACTACTACTACTACTACTACTACTAATAAGTAATAGTGACCTGTACTCTTGCTGGGACTGCACATTCATGTTGCCTATGTCGGCATGTATCTCTTCTGTCGGCGTGCAATCGTTGTGCTGCATACAGGCTGAGCCAGGGAGTAGTGAAATACCATTTTACTACTCCCTGCACTGAGCTTTGCAACACTCTGTCCGAAGTGCAGCGGAATCCCGGACTAGAACAGCAGTAAGAGTCTTAGAGAACATTAATTCGGTAGTGTATAATTTCTTAGAACTCAGCTAGCTGCCATGTGCTAGATTCAAGTAACGAAGAGCCAGGCCGGTTTTGTCAAGTACATCATGTAACCAAGTGGGAGAAAGCGGTCATCCATGATCTTCAGTGTTTTCCAGAACTCTCCAATCTTGTGACCTTGTATTAGTTTTCGCTCAGAGCTAGAGATAGTCAGTCTGAAGTGAATGAATGTCGAAACGAGCCCTGACTACATGTATTAGCGACAAACGCCGCAGTAAAGTCCTTAGTCCTTACCATCGCCAGGAGAAGAACGGTTTGTCCCCTCATGGTTCTTTCCAGGATTTCCTCTTAGCCAGCGGGATAGAGTTGTTCCACGGTTGCTACGTTTGGATGGCCTCCTCCCGCGGCAGTTGATGGATCGAAGGGAACAGAAGAGGAAAAGCAGTTCGAAAGGGCTTTCCGTACTTTTACATGTCGCTTTACCGAGCCTCGTGATGCTGACACGGTGGAAAGCACAGAGGCTTTATCTACCCCTACTATCAAGAGTTCATGAACTCTTGCTAATATTACCTGAACCTGTGCCAGCCGACTGCATGCAGCGCTGTCCACTGCCCTGATCATAGGCTGATGACATCAGCTCCATCCGTATGTTCGGATTCGTGCATGAAGGCATGTAGCCGTAGCCAGGGCAAAGATCTCAGCTACTGACTCTGTTTGTTGTGGATCAAATCTGTCCAATGCATGTCATAATGCATGACAAAAAATGCTTTGCGGTGACAGGAGCACGTGCCACAGCTGCTGCTTGAGATCGCGGCGCCTGGTACATGCATTACGCTGAGGAACCTCTGAAGTGATACTCACTGGTCTACTAATATTATTATTAAAATATTATTACGCAAGAGGTACACAAAAGGAAGTATATAGGGCTGTTTTTTGTTGTAACTCAGAGTTTCATGGCAAAAACCAATCATCAGACAACATAAGGAGATTAGAAAAACGCAGTTATATGAAGGCAAGCAGAGGAGATAGAATAATTCAGTGCAGACAATAATTATGATAATCATTCAACACCTCCCAGAGGCAGTACGCTCTGACGTGCCAGAATCAACATCTCAGGTGCTGGGTGAAACATGAACACGCACACTCATCCACACACACACACACACACACACACACTAATCCACACACAGCCTCTCGTTCTCACACACTCCACACTCCCGCATTATCACACCTAAAAAAAAAAATAATAAAAAACATGCGCACGCACACACACACACACGCACCAAAACACACACATGCACCACACACACACACATACACACAGCCTCTCGTTCTCACACACTCCACGCTCCCGCATTATCGCACCTAAACACACACACACACGCACACACACACACACACACCAAACACACACGCACCACACACGCATGCACCACATACACATACCTACACACAGCCTCTCGTTCTCACACTCTCCACACTCCCGCATTATCGCACCTAAACACACACACACACACACACACACACACGCGCGCGCGCGCCAAACACACACGCACCACACACACATACACAGACACACACTGTTACTTGGCGCGATTCGCAGCTACCCTAGCCGCGAGTCCATCATTGGTCAGCTGTGCTATGTCCTTCGTTTTCCCCTCCATGACACTGAGGAAGCCGTCAGCTCTTACCACAGCGTCCTGGTGGTAGGCTTTCCCCATATGCTCATCCAGGAGCGCCAGTGCTTTCCGAAAGTTCGTCAAGGGACGTCTTGCCAAAACACCGAGCGACGATCCTCGGAATGCATTTGCAAATAGACAGCATGGAACGCAGACTCCGCCGGAAAGCGAAGGGCTAAACACCAGCCATGGCTTGTATACATCGAGCCAGCGGGGCTGAAAAGACCGGCCACCATTCTTCGGGAAAACAAACGAACTATCCGGTTGGACATGGTCCTTTAGCAGGGCAAACATCACATCGTCGTCGAGCGGTGCACCCTTCGCAATGTCCTCCATGAAGGTACCGATGTCATTTCGGACGACTGCTACTGGTACAGCCAAGGGCGACAACTGCGGCTCTTCCGAGTCTTCGACTTCGACAATTTCGCAATTAGATTCGTCAGATTCGGAAATGGCACTGGCACTGCTGCTACTGGTATCTGGTCTCTTCGACTTCCCTCGACTGAAATACTTCAAGATCGACATTTTCATAAGAATCCATTCGACTTGCGGATCACAAAACGACGTTGACACTTCTCTTTCACTTCTACCAAGTCTAGCTACACAAAGTGCGAGTCTATAATACATGTACCGGTAGTTGTACAATGCGCAGTGCATCCGAAAACGACCAAACTCACATTCAAAGGCAAAGATCTACACACAACTATACATGTACTACCACGGTAGTACTAGTTCAAATTACAGTACCGGTAGTAGAGTCTACTACATGTATACATTGTACTAAAAATTAATAATTTTAGCACTACGAACTCGTACTGCGCCTGTCACCGGCGAGAACATGACTGCATGTGCATTGTGCAGCCATGCATGCAGTCTCAAGACAAGTGCAACCTGCATATGCATGCATGCGCTACTACTGTACTAGTACGGTAATAGTACAGTTTGCCGGGCCCCGTCGTGCAGCGCAGCGTCGTGTGGCGTCGATCTTGTCGACGTCGAGTCTCGATCGCGGGCGGGCGTAGATCCACAGCAGTACGAAAATGGTACCTGAAATTTTTGAGGGGGGTGCTTGGGCACCCAAAGCACCCCCCCTGGCTACGCCACTGACACACATACACACATACACACGTACACACACACGCCAAACCCATAGCACGTCATACACGTTATGTCACTTCATAACCCAGCAAAAACTTGCGCTGGTGGCGGCACTTTGATTTGAACAGCCTCTTCTACGGGCAAGCAAAAACGCAATACATCAAAATTCAAATAGAATGAAAAAAGAGAGGAAAATGAACACAAAGTGCACTGGCATGGCCAGCAATCAAGGACATCTGAGAGTTGTAATTTTTGTACTCCTCCGAGGTGTGATTTTTGGCGTGCTGGGTCAAGCACAAGGAAGCCATCTGCAAAAAACTGCAGAAAATGGTTGTTGTTTGATCCTTTGTTGTAATCTTTGTTTCTAGTCGAAGCTAGTTGCTGTTTGGAGCAGAAACGCTGAAATTGACTATTTTCTGCATGTACTCATACATGTACTCATGTACTCAGGCATGCAATCTCACTCGTATTTTAGCTATTTTTCTGGAATGGATGCTGCTCTGCGCCCCTTGGTGAACATTTCCTGCGCTCGTGGAGCAGCTGAAAAGGACCACTGGTATGTCTGGTTCCTGGTTTGAAAGTGGAGAGTCGACCTTTGTGCCTTGAAAAGGAGTAGAGAGCGATAAAGGTACGTCTGTGGCTGATTTTTGAGTGCTCCTCGTACATTTTTGATCGTGATAGAAATTCTCAGACCAAAGTCAGACCAAAGTCAGCGCGATGATGGTCGTACAGTTTTCTTGTGAATTTTTTAGTTGTTTCATCTCGTATGTATGTCAGTATCGTGATGGTGAAGTGGAGAGGGTGATTTTCTTCCTCTAGGCTTCATTCGGCCGACTTTTCTTCGTCCTCGTTGAAAAGTGATCCTGAAAAAAAGGTCGATTCGCAAAATTATGTTGATTTTCAATGTACGAGATGACATGCGATTGTGGACTGGCACACGGTACAAGTTTCGAGTCTTGTCTGCTGGTACAACTATCTCGGCGCCGTCCTTGATCAGCTTGATGTCCTTCCTCATTTTGTCCTGGAGCTGGTTCGAGGCACGTCGGAAAGAAATGGTTTCTACCATGTGGTACATGTCGTCCTCAAATGCTGCCATGCAGGCTGATAAACCCAGCGAAGTCAGAGGTGGGCGTGGTCAGCAAGGACATAATCGACGGTATCATCGGCCCCATGCGCAACGATGTCTGCAAGAATTTGTGGAAGAACACCTCAGAAGTGATCAATTGGTTCAAGGCGATCGAGAACAAATCAAGATTCACATTCATCGTGTTCGACATTGTGGACTTCTACCCGTCTATTACGGAAGACCTCCTGCTGCAAGCTCTCGACTACGCGAAGACGTTTGCCACAATATCCGAAAAAGAAACAGACATCATATTGCACTGCCGTAAATCGCTGTTGTTCCACAAAGGACAAGCGTGGGTAAAGAAGGAGAAGGATGGATCTTTCGACGTAACTATGGGCTCATACGATGGAGCTGAGGCCTGTGAGCTTGTAGGAGCCTTCATGCTCAGCAAGCTCCGCCCACTTCTAGGCGAGGAATGTGTCGGGTTGTACCGAGACGATGGTCTGGCCATAGTCAAGGATGCCACCGGCCATGGAGCTGACCGCTTGCGTAAGGAGATAATCCAGGTGTTCCAAACACACGGCCTGAAGATTACAATAGACGCTAACAGAAAGGTCGTCGATTACCTCGACATATCAATGAACCTCAACACCGGTACCTTTCAGCCGTACAGAAAACCAAATAGCACTCCAGTATATGTTGATGTCAGCTCCTGCCACCCGCCACAAGTATTGAAGCAGATCCCGATTGGCGTTAACAAGCGTCTTCAGCGGATATCTTGTAATGAAGACGTCTTTAATGATGCCAAGCCCGTATATGAGGACGCCCTGGCAGCAAGCGGACATCCAAGAACCATGGCATACAGTAACGAACCGGAACAAAGGAAAAGAAGGAAGCGGCGCAGCAGAGATGTGATTTGGTTTAACCCGTCCTATAGCACAACGGTCAGAACCAACGTTGGTGCAAGGTTCCTGGGCCTCATCAAAAAGCATTTTCCAAAGGGTTCGGCACTGAATAAGATCTTCAACAAAAACAAGATAAAAATCAGCTACAGCTGCATGAGAAACGTAGCCTCCATCATCAAAGGTCACAACGCTGCGAAGCTCCAGCCAAGGCCGCCCGTTGAGCCTTGTAACTTAACTGCCGGGTCAAGCCATCCTGCCCGCTCAAGGGGGAATGCCAGTCGACTGACGTCATATACCAGGCACATGTGTCATCTCCCCAGACCAAGACATACACCGGACTGACGGCCAACACCTTTAAATCGCGCTACAACAACCACTCCACAACATTCCGGCATGAGAAATACTCTACATCGACGGAGCTCTCAAAGCATATTTGGGACCTTCAGAACGCCCAGCGCAACTTTGACATCAGCTGGAAAATAAAAGATCGCGCCCCATCCTACAGCAACATCAGCAAACGATGCAGCCTGTGCCTCACGGAGAAGTTTCACATCCTCACCACTCCAAATGCCATCTCACTTAACAAAAGGAGCGAGTTAGTATCAAAGTGCCGCCACCAGCGCAAGTTTTTGCTGGGTTATGAAGTGACATAACGTGTATGACGTGCTATGGGTTTGGCGTGTGTGTGTACGTGTGTATGTGTGTATGTGTGTGTGTCTGTGTATGTGTGTGTGGTGCGTGTGTGTTTGGCGCGCGCGCGCGTGTGTGTGTGTG